TGAGATATTAATAATTTTCTAACTTGAAATCATATGCCGTAATATTTTTTTTTATATAAGATATATTTTATTTCATACTTTAAACAAATCCAATTAGGGTTGTAATTATAATTTACTACAAGTATATATATATATATATATATATGTAAAACTAATATTTCACATTTTGTTCAGACCAATTCAATCAATAAAATGAATATTAATAATTAATTATATATCCAAAGGCCGTTTAACTAAAACAAGGTCAAGAATTGTGTTTATTGATTTTTCTTAACAAACAGATATTTATATTATTGTATATAAAAATTATCTAGTTAGGTATATATATAATTATAAAATAATCTGAAATATTATATTTAGATTTGTTTTTTATATTTTTAATTTGCAATTAGAATTATTTTGGTAGTTTCTAATAAGATTGCTAGAAAAATCCAATGGGTTTCTAATTCATATGAAACGATTTGTTTTTGAACAATTTGTCTTTCAAGATTTTTAATTATTTCACTTAATAATAATATTTATATTATGAATTAAATTTTATTACAAACAAAACAAGTTTTTAAGGCTTGTTGAGAAATTTATAAGATTTTTGGATTCTAATTCATTTGAATCGATTTGTTTTATTTGTTTTTTAAGATTATTAATTAGACGTTAGATTTTTTTACTTAATAATAATGATAATATTATTAATTGAATTTTATTTCAAACAAAACAAGTCTTAAAGATTTGTTGAGAAATTAATTAGATTTTTTTTTAAGTAACACGAATCGATCAGTCTGTTAATTTAAATCGTTCAATTTTCAAATAGCAAGCTTTTTATTTATTAAATTATTGTAAAATTTTAACGAATATTTAATATAATATTTGATTCGTCAAATTTATTTAAAATAAGTTTTTAAATTGAATTATTATAATTGATTGATTGAATAATTCGAATCGTAAGATAAAATCTATTAAATTCAAATTATTAACTGTATTATATTAAATCATTTGTAATTATATGATTTATCCAATTTTTATTTTCTCGTAAAGTGTTATTGTAATCGTCCAAAAATCAAAAATAAAAATGTTTGCATATCTTCACGTTTCAGTGGTTTCTGAACATTTTGGCACACCTAAAAAAAATGATGTATGTGTGTTTTGTGTGTCCGCAATTTTTCGTCCGCGTTTTCGGGCGCACGGATCAACCGATTCGAATGATTCAAAAACCAATCGATTCCTATTGATAGTAAGATGTGCTGATTAGTTTTTGGCAGAGGCCGATCCAGCCGTTAAGGAGGTACGGAGCAAAGAGTGCAGAAAATACAAATCGAGTTTAAGAGAGAACGGAGTATCCGATTTGAATTATTCAAAAAGCATTCAATATGTAATGATTGGGAGATGTGCTGATTAGTTTTTGGCAGAGACATGTCCAGCCGTTTCGGAGATAAATGTGCAAAAATGGCAGTTTTTGAGAAGACTAAGCATCTGATTTGAATGATTCGAAAAACTTTTTGCTTGTGTTGACAAAAAAATTTTTTATTACAAATTTCAATTTTTTGTATAACAAAAATAATTCAGATTTTAATGCTAATTCTGGCTAAAGTTCTAAAGCTCACTTATACTTAAAAAAATAATTTTAACTTTGCAATTCAGTTTATATAATTCTTATACCGATTAGACAATGTTACAATATTTATAATAATCAATTTGAAAACATTTAATATTCCTCGAACATTTCGTTACGGTACGGGAAGTTTCAGCAATTTGCCTTAACCCACGATGCCATACACCACTAGTTACTTTTTTTTTCTCAATCCTAAATTTTCACCCAAAATCTTTTATTACCATTTAGATTTCGATTTACGAATTTTTCCGTTATTACAATTATCGGAATGGATTCACAAAGCCGTGAAAACTATAACTAACATTACGTAATAGTGTATCAAAATCACCCACACACCCGTACGTAACAATAACGTCACACATATACGTTAAAGTTGCGTTTGTGTTGTGTTATGATTACTCACGGAATCGCATACAAATAAAATGGGATAGTGAAACGCACATGGTTATAAAGCAGTGATGGTAAATCTTGTATAACTTTTGAAATATTTGTGGAAAGTGAATAGTGTTTTTGGAGAATTTGTGCGAAATTGAATACCTAATAATTTTGTCTAATGATAATAGACTCTTAGATAACTCGGTGTACTTTAAAAATGCAAAAATTGCGAGGAGTGTTCTTGATACAAAATCAAGTATAATTATACTTTAAAGTATTCATAACTTTTGAAATATTAGTGCAATTTAAATATCGTTTGAGACAAATTTATTTATAATTAAACACTCTACAAAGTTGTCTTACACTAAAACACTCTACATCAACTCAATATACTCAAAAGTGATACTAAAAAGTTTAACAAAATAAAATGAATTTTATTTAATAAATAAATGTATTATATTTAATCATTAAATAAAATTCACCTTACTTTACCAATTATTTATAACTATACAGACTACTTGCACAAAGTTTTGTTGTGAAAATAGTTTGTAGATAATTTAATTATCTAAATTTTGTTGAAAACATATATCATGCTAAAATTAATATTTTAGGAGATATTGGTAAATTAGTAAAATATACAGCAAAAAAACCTGTAAAAATGCACTTGCTCACTATTATCAACTTTGACACAAAACTATGAACATCATTTTTATTAATTAACTTGCACATGCATCTACAAACCTACTACTACTTTCGTGCACAAAAATACCATCAATTGTCCTTTATATTTTATCACAAAACCCTACTTTTTGCCTTCAATGTTTCGCAATTCCATGTCCGTATAGAAAACGAACAATTACTAAGTCCGTCAGTTGAGTATCAAGGTCCGCCTCGTGAAGATCATTTAAAAAAACAACATCATCTAATAAAACATAATTGTAATTAATAGAAATTATTAATAAAAGTCTAAAGTAAGTTTTGGTGTTTTTGAAACACGTTTTTGTGACAATTTTTTAAATAAAACTTGTGCGGGAAATGGGGTTATGCTAAAGTGATGATATTGAATCAAATACTTATTTTTTATTAATAAATATTAATTTCATTAATTAAAAATATTTTTGTAATTTAAACAATTTATTTAAAAATTATTTGGTGTTATTGCTTATTTTAAATTTTATAATTTTTTAACAAGTTTTTTTAATTTTTTGCAACATACATGCAAACATTTTGTTGGTTGGTATTTAATTTTTGTAAGACTTGTTTTATATTTTATATATAAACAACAAGTCTTTTTTAAAATTAAACAAGTTTTATCTAAATTTTGAATAAATATTTTCAGTATTTAACTAAAACATTGCTACAAGTATTTTTTGCAAAATTGATTAATTTCTATTTGATTTTATTAATAATTTTTTTTTATATTATCCCAAAGTGCTAAAACTTGATTTTTTGCCTTATTAGTGCTAATAGTAATTATTTAGAGTGCATACAATTTTCTAAATGGTGTTTTTTATGTAAAATTTGGTTTGAAATATTAGTAAATATTTTTAAAATTTAGTCTATATATCTAAACATTATTTCTAATCAATTTTTTTTAATAATTTGCAACTTTCTTAAACAAAATATTTAATAGTTTCTCAAAAGCTCAAAAATTCTGGGTACTCAAGTGTAGAGAGTGCTTTTTTACTACAAGTCTTGTTTATTTTATTGAATATTTATTTTAGAAGTTGTGAATATTTCTAAAATTTACTCTATATATCAAAAAACTAATTGAGAATAAAATTTAGTAATCATTTGCAACTTTCTTTAACAAAAAATTTATTATTTTTTTCAAAGCTCCGAAATTTTGGTTTTTCAAGTGTATAGAGTGTATTTTTTGAAACAACTCTCGTTTATTTTATCAAATAAATATTGATTTTGGTAGTTGTAAATATTTTTATAATTTAGTTTACACTTCTTAATAGCATATGTGATTAATTTTTTTTAATTATTTGCAACTTTCTTTAACAAAAAATTAAATAGTTTCTCAAAAGCTCAGAAATTTTGATCAAAAAAAGAGAATGCATTTTTTGCTACAAGTTTTGTTTTTTATACTAATTATCAATTTTAATACTAATACATAACTTTATAATTTAGTTCATATAAGCAAAAATTGGTTTTAATTAATTTTTTGTAATTATTTGCAACTTTCTTCCACAAAAAATTTAATAGTTTTTCAAAAGCTCAAAAATTTTGGATGAAACAAGTGTATATAGTGCATTTTTTTATGTTATGTTAGTGCAATTTTATTAGCAGTAAATATTTTTATAAATTAGTAAATATACTCAAAAATTATTCATAATTAACATTTTTTAATTATTTGCAACTTTCCTTAACAAAATAATAGGTTGTCAAATATCTCCCTTCCGCTTTTTTGCTCTTGGTGTAATACAAAAAGGCGGAAGGGAGATATTTGACAATCTATTTTATTATGTCTACACAACACGAAAAATCTTAAAAAAAATTATTCGATGTTACAAGTCAAATTTTTAATACCAAATACAACCTTTACATTAACTAAATATTTTTATAATTCATTTCAATTATCTGCGATTTATTTCCAATCAAAAATTTCTGAAAATTCACTAAGTTCATTAACAAAATATTTAAATTAAGTCAACGCAACTCTAAAAATCAAATCAATACTTTCTTTGACTTTCAGTCCAATTTTTAACCAACCACAGACTTTAGTTAAACTAAATATTTTTATAATTTAATCTAAATGCCCAAAATTAATTTCCAATTAAAATATTTCAATTATCTACAAATTTTCCTAATTAAATTTAAAAAAACATATAATATTTGTCCGCAAGCAAATGCATATCGTTAATAGCTCTACTAATGCCAAGGTGAACATCAATAATAACTCTGATTTCCGCGTTGATAAATTACAAATAATTATATATAAATTTAAATAAATCTCTATATATTATTTAAATAAACAAAATCTAATATATATTTCATCTTTCTGCAGGTTTATTTGTTAATAAAATTGTTGACAACATTTGTTAAAAATAAAAACATTAAAAAATGACCGGACCGGTGGAAGATGTCGGTAAAATTAAAAATCGTGAAGAGGCTTTGAAGGAGATGAAAATGATGATTGAAGGTAAATTTATACTAAACTATTATTATTTTTAATCATTAAAATAAAGTTAAAGGTTCCAAGTATTTTATACCAAAATTTCAGCTTTCTACATTTAATAGTAACGCCGAAATATTTTTTTTAAATCAAGCAAAATTTCAGAAGTATTCGCGGAATTAAATTCATGGCCATTTAGCATTTCTTTCAACGAGTTTTATATATTTATTAAACAGATTTAAGACTTCTAAATATTTATTAATAGGTATCGAATGTTATGGATCATTTGGAATATATATATATATATATATATATATATATATATATATATATATATATATATATATATATAGTAGATTTTATCTTTATATTCAGCCGAACAGAAAATTTCTAAAAAAAATCCCAACGTTCATAACAAAATAAACAGAGCGAAAATATGAATTATTTTCTAGTATTTTTAATAATTATATAACTTATTTAAAATGTAATAACAAAATTTCACTAACTTATTATTTAAAAATAAAAATTATTCGAAACTTTAGAATAATGTATGAAAATTTAGTTGCATAATTTTTAAAATAATGTAGTTTGACCAATGTATATTCAAAAAATTATTGTGTTGTTAATATTAGGAGTAGAAAGTCGTGATTTGGGTATAAAATATTTTAAACCTTTTACTTAATTTTGATAAACTTAATTTTTTTTTTTTTTGTAGCAATAAGAAATTAGACTTGTAAAATGCAATGCAGTTGCATAAAATTATTTTGCATAAATAGTATAATTTGGTAAATTTGAAAATGTTTTTGTAGCAAAACTGTTGTATGTAAAGATCTGAAATTTAAATAAAAAAATCCTTGAACTTTTATCTTAATAATGACATATTTAGAAAACTTAACACTGTAACAGAATTTTGAGTTACACACAAAAATTTAGATGATTACTTGTCAACTCTTATATTTACAATTTGTTACGGCGGTTTTTCAAAAAATTGTTTAGGCCATATTTTTGAATATAAAGAGTTCAAATTTGGATATATAATACCTTAAACCTTTACCTTAATATTGGTATACTTAGAAAACTTAACTCTAAAACCAAATTTTGAGTTACTCATTTAAATTCAGATGATTACTAGTCAACTTGTAAATTCACAATTTGTGAACGCGTTTTTTTTTTTAAAATTGTTCAGGCCACATTATTAAATATACATAATTCAAATTTAGGTATATTATTCCCAAAGACCTTTATTTAATTTTGGTTTACTTGAAATAAATTGTTATTTAACAAAATTTGTCATTAGACATTGAAAAAGTGATACCAGTATGATAAAAAGTTTGAAATTAGCATGATCGAGTTTTACTTAAATTCAAATACTTATTTTGAAAAAATTATTGAATACAGAAAAATATAATTAGAGTATGTTATACCTTGAACTATAGTCTTTATTTCGACAAAATTTAAAGTTAAATTTAACTTTGTAACAAAATTTAAAGTTACACGTTCAAAACCAATGTAAATGCACACTAATCCATGTAGAATTTGAAATCTACTCTTTCAGTTTTTTTGGCTTTGTTCAAAAATTTATTGTGACCAAACTAATTTACATAAAAATGTAAAAATTTGACGATTTTTACCTTAAACCTTATACTTGATTTTGGCATACACAAAAAATTTTATTTTATAAAAAATCACACCAGTTCCATCGAATATAAAATATTCGCTTGTGGATTTTTGGTAATTTTCGAAAATTTAATATGACCAAAATAACTTACATAGAAATGTAAAATTTCGACAAGTTATACTTTGAACCTAATACTTAATTTTGGCATACTTAGAAAAATTACTCTGGAACAAAATTTGAAGTTACATATATAAAAACTCTTTTCATGCATCACACTAATGCAACAATCACTATATAGAAATCGCACGTGGATGTTGCCAAATTTGAAAATTTATTGTGACCAAACTACTAAATATAAAAATGTAAAATTTGGACAAATTATAACTTGAATCTTATACTTAATTTTGGCATACTTAAAATTACTTTGGAACAAACTTTTTAGGTACATATATGAAATCTATGTAATGCATCATACCAATCCAATTAGTATTTGAAATTTGATCTTGCGGATTTTTAGCAATTTTCAAAAATTTGTTACAGTTAAGCTATTTTACATAGAAAAATAAAATTTTGGTATGTTATACCTTGAACCTTATACTAAATTCTGACATAACTTAAAATTGTATCTTTGGAACAAAATTTGAAGTTATACGAAAAATTATGTATATATAACCACAGCCATTAAGAAAGATTATGTAGTACAAATCATTACTACGATTTACCTTGAAATTCTCCTATACAATTCAGAGTATACTTCTCTAAGTATAAACAAATTTCTCAAATAAACTTATATTTATTTACTAGCCCAACATACAATCCTAACAAATATGAGTCAGAACTTAGTATAAATAATTTTTTCCCATCAAAACCTTCAGTGTATATATTAATTAGACATTTAAAATAGTTTGTACTTGTAAAAACGTTTGTATAAATTCCTCAACCCATGTTTCTCTATATTTTTCTAATTTTAGAACAAAATATTTATGGATCTACATTTCAATGTGCTAAACAACATATTAAAATTCAACGTCATAATTGGTAATAAAAAAAATAATGAGTTTATTTATTTTGATCATATTGGAAAAATAATATTTATTGTAATTTATTCATCAGATATAAAAATCATAACAGGGATAAAAAAAATCTGGATATATCGTTTTCAATTGCAATTTATGAGTATACCGGGTTGATGTAGAGCATTTCGTTGTTAGAAAAAGTCATAGACAATTTAATTTTAAACATTTTCCTCGAACACATCGTTTATCATCAAATGGTTTAGAATTTATTCAAGATGAATCAACTTATGCCCTCTTAGCTATAGAGTTTACATCAAAATTTTAAATATCGATTTTAAAGTATACCGAGTTGCTCTAAAGCGTCGGAAAATATTTGTTTTAACTAACATCACATATATTTATTTAAAATCACTCACGACATATTTTTTATGCAAATTTTATTGCTTGTCATATATGTACTTCAGACATATATTACGCAAGGAATGACTACGAGAAAATAATGTGTTGATTTCAACTTAGATTTTTAATAATAAAAAGTACCAGCAGATAATTATGTTGTAAGCAAACAATATAGATATATAATTTGTTTAAATTTCTCTTGTATAAAATGTATAGATATTTTGAGTATTTTACAAGATATTTGCAAAAATGACCCTCGACGTCTCTAGGAAGGATGTGTCTACTTTGACAAAGATTTAATAGTACAAAGAGGCATCATATTACATTAACCTTAGACAAATGTGTAGATAATTTAATTTTTTATGTATTTGTCTTTTACCAAATCTATCTACAACGACTGCAATATCAATCAATTTTCCCAAAAAACGCACCTTCACCAAATTGAAATTTCTGAATATTTGTTTATAAATATAGAACTAAAATTTATTTAACAATGACGTAATTTTATACATTTTGAGTCCCAATTTTATTTTTTTCTTATGTCTTGTGTTATTTATAAATATATTTTTAAACATTTTTTTTAATTGTATTCTATAATTTGTTCAAGTTTCACTATTTCCACATATTTTCAATAGTTTGGGTTAAAGACATCTGATTCATCTGTTACATTTTTTGACAATTTAAATTTATTTGGCAAAAAACTTGTTAAAATACATACACTTTATTTTATACAGATGAAAAGCTTATGGCATTCTCTTCAGAACTGCATTTACCACTTTCCAACTTTTGGAACAAAATCATTGAGAAAAAAATCGGTAAACCTTAAAAACGTATAACTTTGCAGACAAAATGTTTGTACGGTTCTTCGCGTTTGTTTAAAATGTGCAAAAACTTGTTAAAATACCTAAATCATATTTTATACAGATAAAAAGCTTATGAAATTATGTAAATAACTGCATTTACCAATTTTCAACTTTTGGAACAAAAACATTTGAAAAAAAAAAGTTCTGAAAAAATGTACCTGTTCAGTAGAGCATTGTACCACCAAGTATCAAGTTTTGGATAGCTCTGGTGGTACAACCAGTCACCCTACAGTTTTAACCCTAAAGACAAAAATATACAAAATTCCATCCTTTATCAATCTGTCGTGTACCACAACCTTGTATCTCAACCTTATAAAAAGTTTTACCCAAATAACTAACAAACAATTCTTTCCCCAGATGCCAAATACCTTGGATACAGACTACGTACAGACGAGAGTTATTTATCCAGATATCTCCATTGTTGTTCCTGGGACCCAAAAAAGGCTTGTGAAAGAGCCTTAGCCTTCTGCAGACTCAAATCCGAAAACCCTTCGTTTTTTTGTGGACCCCAAACAAATCCTGATGTGGAATTCAAAGAACTGATCGATAAAACTGTAGTTAAATTTTTACCAGGAATCAAGGATAACGAAGGGCGACCTGTTTATGTCGTCAAAATAGGTAAAAATACCCACTTGCTATCAGTTGGTTAAATTTATTTTACCCTGGTGTCATTTTTTTTTTTTAGGTTTGGTTGATCCTTCCAAAGTAGATTGCCCAACTGTGAATCGTCTGGACGATTATTGGATAGAATCGATTTTGGATGATAATGAGGTCCAGGAAAAGGGTATTTGTGTCCTGATGGATATTAAGGATTATTCTTGGCGACTTTTGGGCTGGTTGACGCCTCATAATGTTAAGACCAGCTCTATGAAGATGGAAATTGGACCTGTTAAACAGGTATGTGGAGAAAAGATGGCTACGGCCAAAATATTGGAGGTAGAAAAATTGGCTTAGAAACAAATATGTACAGCATTTTATTAACTAAAATTTTGTCAAAGACTGTATGAGCCTAACTAACTTATTTTAGAAGTTATTAATATAATAGTGTAAGTGCGCACCTTATCAACGCTTGGACTATGGTTATATGGCTGAATGGTTAAATTTGGTATACGCGCACCAAATAATTTATTACCCAAGAACTAATCGTTGTTTCGAATTACAGTTAAAAGCAATATTATAGATGAGTTTATTAGCTAAAATTTTATCAAAGACTGTATGATGCTAAACATAATATTTTAGAAGTTATTAGTAAAATAATGTTAGTGTTCACCTTACCAACGCTTGGACTACGGTTTTTGGGTGAAAGGTTAAATTTGGTTTACGCGCACCAAATAATTTATTACTCAAAAACTAATCGTTGTTTCGAATTACAGTTCAAAGCAATATTATAGATGAATTCATTAGCTAAAATTTGGTCAAAGATTTTATAAGGCTAACGCAATTATTTTAGAAGTTATTAATATAATAGTGTAAGTGCGTACCTTACCAATGCTAGGACTATGGTTATGTAGATGAATGGTTAAATTTGATTTATGCATACCAAATAATTTATTACTCAAAAACTAATCATTTTTTTCGCGTCATAGTCAAAGGAAATGTCATAAATAATTTTATTAGCTAAAATTTTGTCAAACACTATATCTGGCTAACTAAATTATTTTAGAAGTTATGATCACAATGGGTAAAGTGTACCTTACGAAGTAAATTACCAGGTGGTGTTATTAGCAAGGCTATTTATTACCATAAGCAATATCTTTACGCAAATAGTTCATGAGGCAAATTTATAGACGTTTTTATTAGCTATAAACTTCCCTAATATTATATACAGCTACAATAAATATTTTACTAGTTATATATTTAACTTGGTTTTGGTGCAAATGTTTTATGATGCTTTGTCTAAAACTTATGCACGACTTCAACATTAAAAATTGTGATATAAAAATGCACCAAGATGCTGAAATTTGAGTATATGATACCTTAATATGTATATTATATTTCTGGATAATTTTTTGTGTATATTTGGAATGATTTTTTAAGGTTTTTGTCTATTTTAGACGAAGCTGCACGTCGTCAATTCGTCCAAGTTGATGAATGCTGCTATAGCCATTTCGTATCCACTTTTGAGCGACCGGATTAAAGAAAATGTAAGTTTAAAAATTAAAAAAAAAATATTATCTACATAATTTATGTACTAAAATTGTACTTAATATATACGTTTGTCAACTGGGTACTAATTTATATATTTCTAACTGATAAATATAGTTATTGCCAATTTGAGTACTTATTGTCAAGTTTACTAAAGTCTGATTTAAATCATCTCTAAAGCTTTTTGGATATGTCATAAAGAGATGAAATTGATATCAATTAATTGAAAATTTTATCTAAAATTTTCGAGTTAAAGACAAAAATTCTGTATCTTAACTATGATACAGTTACGATACTTAACGAGATACGTTTACAAATATAAACAAGTTTGAGATACGTTTACAAATATAAACAAATGTACCACTCTCATCGACATTTTTTGTAACCACATTAACACATATTCAAAAACATAAATTTTCTGTGAATTTTTAAACAATTTTCTTATAACTTTATTTAATAAAAACTTAATGATTTTTTTAAAAAGTCTATAGGTAATTTGTCTCTTTGATTTTCTATAATTTTTCCAATAATTTTCTATATTTTCTGTATTTTTTTTATAACCACATTTAACACACATTTCAAAACAAAATTCCTAATTTTCTATGAACTTTTTAATAATTTTGTTAGAACTTTAATTAAAAAAAAATAAAAAATATTGGAAAAAATCTATAATTTGTTTCTTAATTTTCCAATAATTTTCTAATATTTTTTCTAATAGTTTTCTAATTTTTTTACAATTTTTCTAACAATTTTCTATTTCCAGATCCATTTCCATTACTCGAATTGGCCATCTCTACACAAACACATAAACCCGGAACTTCTTCCGGCAGAATACGGCGGAACAGGCCCGGATTTTGATTTAAGGGCCGCTTTGGACAAATTGGCCCAGAATAGAGATAAAATAAAAGAAAACTTCGACTGGGGATACGAAAAATCCAAATGATATCAATTTTTGTTAAATTAAATATAAGTACCATGACATTTTTAAGATATTGGTAAAAAATATAATAACATTCCTAAATGTAAATGAAAATTATATATATATATATATATATATATATATATATATATATTTAAGATAAAGCAATGCCCAAATATTTTTTGTATTAACTAATATATATGTGATTTATTTGTAATTGTGATTTTATACTTTATAATATATATATATATATATATATATATATATATATATATAATTATAATTATTTTAATAAATTTATTTCAAAAATATTTGCTGTTATTTTACAGTACCTCTATCTATACAGATTCTCGAGAAACTTTGGTTTGAAAACAGAATACTGAAGTATATGAGGGAAAGTATTACGAATACAAACCGCTATATATATATATATATATATATATATATATATATATATATATATGTGTGTGTATATATATATATATATATATATATATATATATATATATATATATTAACAAAGTCTAATAATCGGGCATAACATCAATAAAAAACATGAATTTCTTTCAAAAATTTATTTTAAATCCATACGTTTCGGCTATAATCCTAGCCTTCATTCAGTGGAAACTAAAAATAGAATTAAAAATTAAAACAATTGAATTGGAGTGAAAAGAAAACATAAAATAGTAAATAGTACTTACAATTAGTTGATCTTAGTGTTTTATATATAGTATGAAATAGTTCTTTGTTTTTAAAGAAAAAAAAATCAAAACTGATTTTTATGTACTATTTTTTCTGAAGAAGAAGACTTATCATATACTCAGAAACGTAAAAATAAATATACACACACATATTGAATAAATTAAAAATTTATTGTTAATTTTATAATAAATTATTACTTCTAGAATACTCTTTTGTCAAAACTAATGTTCCAAGCTAACTTTTTACCTAACGCTATATTGTTACAATTTTTATATATGAAAATTAGTGTTTTTACATATTCATTTATTTTATTCATTGAAATATTTATTTTAAATATATAGCCCACAGATTACTCCAAGAGGACTCAAAAATACAATTATTTTACATAATGAACAACAATTAAAATATATACAAAATTACAATATATAGTTAGTAACATAAAATGCTTACATAAAATTGCATATAATGCAGAATGTAACAATATTATTTGTAAACAGAATAAGATAAAATAATGGGATATTTGAAAAGAAAATAAAAAGGTTAACTTACTCATACAAATTCCTTCCAAAGTACGATTCACACCACTACATTTACAATCGATGTCGATTTCCGCGCATGTGCCTCTCTGCTACCATATCGACTGAATTTGGTAGCACAGTTTTCCTACGATTTTCCAGGTCTCTGGGACAAAATTAATGAAGGCAAAAAGGGATAAAAGGATATATAGTGAAAAATATAAAAATTTGTGTGGTTTTTGAAGTGATTGTTATATAATTTTTGTGCGGTGTTAGTGCTGGTTTTAGTTTGTTTTTAATGGACTAACGTAAGTGTACACTAATTAATTATTTATGCTCAGTTATGCATGTTTTATACTTTTTGCCCACAAACTATTTACCAACCCTCATACTACAACTTTATTTGTATTATAATAAAAATAAATTTATTTGCCCTTATTGCCAACAATTGATTTTAAATACTTTTTTGCGATTACAAATTTTAACAAAAGCTACACTTACCTACGTTAATTATAAATTTGTTCCCAGAATTTTAATAAAATTGCAGTTGCCCATTTTCCCATAATTGAACAAAATTTGCCAGTATTGGTCAAATAAAATTTGTGCTATTGCCAATTACATAATTTATTTTATAACATTTATAGTGTTTCTAAACATAATGTTTTTTTTTAAATATTTTGCTATTTATGCCCTTTTTCCCATAATTATTGAAATTCATATTAATTATAATTAAAATATAGAATAAAGTGTTCATTAATAATTCATAACAAATTTTGGCCACAGAAGTACATTTTCCCAATAATTACTGTTGCCCATTTTTATATTCTAAATTTATTATAATGTTTATCATACATTCCTTAAAACTTTTTTTATTCGAGAAATTTTAATGTTCTCATTTTAATTTTTGACCAAGTACATTTTCCCATAATTGCTGTTGCCCATATTTGTATTCCAAATTTATTAGAGATTTGATTAAACTTTTTCTAGTACAAAATATGGAGTATATTATTTTTTAACTCATTCCAAATTTTGCCCAAATGAGTAAATTTTTCCCATAATTACTGTTGCCCATATTTATATTCCAAATTTATTAGAATTTTGTTCATCTATTCCTCAAAATAATTTATAGAAAATACAAGCTTTTGAGATAATTCTAATGCTTTATTACATAATTACTGTTGCCCATATTTATATTCCAAATATATTATATTTTTTTTCATAAATTCACCAAAATTATATATGAAATGCAATTTTTTCTTAATAATTTGTTCTGCTTTCATTGTGATTTTTGCTCACTAAGTACATGTTTCCCATAATTACTGTTACCCATATTTATATACCAAATATATTTTAAAATTTCCATGAATTCTATAATGATATAAATTGAATACGAATTTTTTAAATAATTGTACTGTGATCATTACAAATTTTGCCCACCTAAGAACATTTTTTTAAATAATCCAAATTTTTCCTAATAATCACTGTTGCCCATATTTATATTAAATGGGTCTCCAAATTTACTTGTTGTTTGTTTCTATATTTACCCATTCACAACATTAAATAAAGATACTGTGTATCAAATATACATTTGTTGTTTACATAGCCCTTATTTGTTGTTGCCCTATATTTGCAGTTGCCCATATTTAATAAAAATTCAAATTAAATTTTTGCTTACGATCGATACATATTCCATAAAAAGATTTGATGGTACTTATAATAAATAAATACAAAATAAATATTCTGTTCAAATTTATGGAAAAATTTGCCCATTGTCCAAATAATAACTGATGCCCATATTTGTATTTATTATATTTTGCATTTGCTCATTTTTCCACATTCAAATATAACAATGCATATTAAGTACACATTTCTTGTCTATATATTTGTTGTTGCATATTTTTTCATAATTACAGTTGCCCATATTTATTATAAATTTTTCCCCACATTGCCTTATTGCCCACTTTAGACAAAAATTACAAAATATTATTGAAAATTTCAATTTTTTTATCTAACTTTTTTAGCTTGACTTTTTCCTGATTATAGCAGCCCAGGCTAGTTTTAAATTTGTTCCCAAATTTTCTTGTTGCCCACTTTGATATTAGAGTCCATATTTCTGATCCATAAATATATTTGTAGCACTCTATATAAAATTTTCTTTATATAAGTACATAAAGATTTTTGATTTATTGAACCACAATAAACCACAAACCACAATATAAAAAAAAACTTTTGTTCAATTTTTCTTCAGACATAAATGTTTATTATGCAATGATAATAAATAAAATATATTGCCTATTGACAAGTTGCCGTAATTAAAATTAATTATAAATATTAACCAACATTTTTCTTGTTTTTCTAAACTAATTTAGGGCGCTTTTTTACAAGTTTGCAAATATTTCCAGATCTGGTTATGGGATTTTGATGATTTTTATTTCAATTGAAAGATAGTTGTTTAAAATAGATATTTTGTAGATCACTATTGCAATTTTTGTAAAAATCAAAAAAATATAAGCATTCAAAATCTGCCTTCCGTTTTTATTAAAGAGATTAACTTTTTCTACTTGATATCTATTTATATGCTTCAATAATTTCGGACACTATTCAATAATTAAGCCAATAATTTAAAAATTGATAACGGAATTTTAATAATTTTTAAATTTATTTGAAAGCTAAATAAGTGACAAAAATATATTTATCATTATTTTTAAGAATTTTACAAAAAATTGAATTATATGGACATTCAAAATCAAGCTTTCAAATTTGGCAACAAATACAAGACATAAACTAGTACTTTATCCTAAATTTGCAAATATTTCCAAAACGGATAATAACATTTTAATGATTATAATTTTATTTGAAAGATGTATCATCTGCATTTTTATTAAAAAAAACTTGCATTAATTAAAAAATATAAGCATCCAAAATCAACTCTTTACATTTAGCAATAAAAATTAGTAACTAATTATTACTTCTTTAACTATTCTTAAATTTCTTAGAATAGTTTAAAAAAATTGGGAAGAAATAATAAGAAAATGAAAGAAAAATTTAAATTAATTATTAAATATACTTAAATAATAAAAATTAGCAATAAATATATATAGGAAACTATAATAAACAAATATTAAATAGAGGCAAATATATAAGTATATAAAAATTTGCTCATAGAAAAAAGTAATTGAATTTGAAAATAATTATTGTTGACTGTAATAAATAAAAAAAAAATTGTAAATAAATTATGTCATACTTCAAAATCAGCAATATTTAATAAACAAATAAAAAAAACAATAATTTTATATTAATTAACAAAAAAAGCGACAATTATTACATATATATAAATAGAAGAATTTTATTTCCGAACGTTTTGTCGTAATTAAGAATCTGTGATATAAATAAAGTTATAAATATCTGAGGTCTTTAGCAATTTATAAATGTCTCTGATGTCCCGAAATAAATATATATATATATATATATATATTATACATATATGAAGAAACGTTGCCAAATATTTCTGAGTACGAATTTAACTTATATCAACAAGTCAGTTAATCGAATACTTGACAACTTTTTTAAATAAATTTTTAAAATAATATATACATACATATATACATATATATACATACATATATACATATACATATATATATATATATATATATATATATATATATATGATACAAAAAATAATTAAAATTGCTAATACAATTTTATAAGCAAAATAAAAAATATTTAAACAATATTATCAAAGCAATTTTGATACAAATTCAAATATTTATTATAAACGATATACAAATTTATTAACTTCCCGTAGGGTAAGTTATTGTAATGGGCCGAAAATCGGAATTGAAAATTTTTACATTTCTCGACGTTTTGAAGGTTTCTGAACGTTTTGGCATACCTCAGAAAAAATGGATGTGTGTGTGTGTGTGTGTGTGTGTGTGTGTGTGTGTATGTATGTATGGATACAAATTTTCGCCCACGTTTTCGGGCGTACGGATTAACCGATTTGAATAATTTAAAAAACATTCGATTCCTATTGATAAGGAGAAGAGCTGATTAGTTTTTGGCAAAGGCAGGTCCAGCAGTTACGGAGATAAGGAGTAAAGAGTGCAGAAAATAGAAATCGAGTTTTTGAGAGAACGGAGCATCCGATTTGAATGATCTAAAAAACATTCAATTAGTAATGATTGGGAGAAGGGGTTATTAGTTTTTCGCAAAGGCAGGCCCAGCCATTTCGGAGATACAGAGCTAAATGTACAAAAAATGGCAGTTTTTGAGAGAATTAAGCGTCCGATTCAATTGATTCAAAGAACTTTCTGCTTGTCTTAACAAAATAATTGATTTTGGAAAAAAAAAAATTTGTACCAATTTTTTTTTTTTTTTTTTTTTTTTTTAATTTTTTAAATTTTTTGTATATCGAAATAATTCAGATTTTATTTTAATTCTGACTATAGTTCTAATATACTTTAAACAAATAATTTCAACTCTGCAATTCAGATTATATAATTCTTATAAATATTAGACAATGTTACAATATTTATAATAATCTATTTGAAAACATTCAATATTCCTCGAACATTTCGTTACGGTACGGGAAGTTCCAGCAATTTGCCTTAAGGCACGATGCCATCCACCCCACTAGTTTATATTTTTATTATATGATTTCCAAATGTGTCTATTACTTTATACACGTGTTACAAAATTTTTCGCCAATTTTTTACTCGTGTTTGTTTTAATTAAACAAAAAAATTTTGATAAAAAAAACGCCTTTGGCATTGATAGTATTCAAAGAACAATATTTATATTTCTTTCATTGACTCTGATAAGGGAAACACTTGTGTTTCTTATCAAATTATAACAGAAATATGTATAAATACTTGTATATATATATGTATTTATATATATATATATATATATATATATATATATACATCCTTGACTTAGACCTACCGCATTTGAAATAGTCATAAAATATATATAAAACTCCAAATTACTTATTTTATAGGCAATTCCTGAACACATCAAAAGAAATCATCTACATCGATTGAAGTGGTGAAAAAAAAATTAGAGACCTGACAGAAAAATATGAGAAATTTAATTTTTGTTTGTGGAAATAAATATTGTTTATAAAAATTGGGACGAGATGAAAAGTAAATATAAAAATTGTAACCCGAAGGGGTAAAAGTTAAATGCAATAAAAAAATGGTGATGTAAATTTAAATTAGTGAAAAAATTTGTTTAAAAAAATGTGAGCATAAAATTAGTGTGACTACAAGTTTTTTGAAAGTGTAAAAATTTAAGACAAAATGCTGTAAATAAATACAATTATTAAAGAAAAGTCTTAAATAAAACTTGTGTAAAAATATAAATTTGTTTTGGTTTAATTTGCACAAGTTTGTTTTTATTTGCTGAGTAAATTTGAGTTAAAAAGTGTGGACAAATATTTTTTGAAATTTGTGACAAATGTAATGAATTTGACTTTTAAAAACTGCAAAATTTATATACAATTATCAAGTAAAAAATAGAGTAATTTACAAAAAGAAGTGTGAAACAAAAATTGTATTAAAATAAAATTATTGTTATTTAATTTTTACAATCTTTTGTTTTTTTTTGGATTCTTTTGGAAATTTGAGTAACAAAAAGTGTGGACAAATATTTTTTAAAAATTGTGATAAGTCTAAAAAAATTAATTGGAAGAACTGCAAAAAATTTATTTAATTATCAAGTGCAAAACAAAAATAAAAGCAATAGAATAATCAAACGTAAATGTACTACGAATTTTAATTTGCATTAATTTGTTTTCCATTGAAAAAATTTTAGCAAAAAAAGTGTGGACAAATATTTTTTGCAAACTTTGTAAATTTAATATAAAAGTGTGCATTTAATTTACTTTCTTCTAAAAATTGTGATTTTTACAAAAAACGTGCACAAAAACGTTAAAGCCACAAATTAATACCTGAATAATATTCTTAATGTAAATTTTCTTTGTGATAAATTCTATTTATATTTTTTGACAATTAAAATAAAATATTTGTGTATAAAAAATTGTGCTGAAAACTTTACAAATTATTTCATCAGAATATTTTTGTTAAGATAAAATAATAAAGTTTGAATAAAAAATATTTTAACAATTTTTAATTTAAAGTTTTTCACAAACTGGTCACCGAGTATTGAAAGTACTTTGGTAAAACAAAATATTTAATAAAACTTGTGATAAAAATTATTTGATTAAAATAAATTGAATAAAACAAAAATTAATTATTAAGTTAAATTATACAAAAAATTGGTTGAACCAAAAATTTAGTTAAATATATTAGAAAAAAAAAAAAATTTGGACATTTATGCAATTTTTATCATTTTTGTTAAAAACTGAAACCTGACGTGAACATTTTAAATTATTTTATACGAAAGTTTTAACGTAAAATACTTAAAGTATATTAATTAAAATAATAAAATTTTAAATTCAAATATTTTGTTTATTTTTGTTGCAAAATTTATGCTCTATTTGATTTAAATGAAAAATATATACAGCAAAAATATTTTAAAAAAAATTAATATATAAATCACTGAAAAATTTGAAAAAAATAAGTTTTATATGATTTAAAAAATTGAAATAAATTGGTTTGTACACAAATGTTTCTAAAACTCAATATTAACACCTAAGACAATCCCAAAATAAAAAAATATAAAAAAATACGAAAGTTTGAGGGAAAAATTGTGGTTACAAAATAAATGTTTATAAAATCATCAAAAACAATGCAGGATTTGAATATTTAAACTTTTGCTTTTAATATATAAATAAGTACATCATAATACAGCAAAATTTAGCCAAAAAATCCCAAAACTCCAACAAAATCTCTATTTTCACCAATTTCAAACCCCACGACAAGATTTAACCTTAAAAATTTAATAAAAAAGTGTGCATTTAATTTACTTTCTGCAAGTAATTGTGATTTTAACAAAAATTGTGCACAAAAACTTTAAAGCAGCAAATTAAAACTTAATATTTTTAGTGTAAATTTCCTTTGTGATAAATTTTATTTAGAATTTTTGGAAATTAAAATTAAATTTTTAAATTTGTGCTGAAAACTTCATAGATTGTAGCACTAGAATGTTGTTTTTAGATTAATTTGAAAACAATAATATAAAAATGTGTCATCAAACTATGTGTCAGTTAAAAAAAATTTAGTGGTCATAGTGGTAAAAAGTGGTAAAAATGGCAACAGAAGTACCAGGTGCCACCGAATGGACGTTTACTGATCCCGCTCTGGAAAAACTATATAGATCTCATAGTTCTAACCAGAAGAGGACTGGTTTGCAGTGTTTTTTGCTGGGGGCGATTTTGTTCGATCTTTATACCCTGATAGTACCCTTAGGTAAAAGATTTTTGAGTATATTTAGCAGAAAGTCCAATTTTGAACAAATTTTTGGTTTGGTTCGGAATTTTTATTGTTTTTTTTTAAAATATTGTTCTAGACGTTGGTCGTGTCATGTTGAGTATGTAAATAGCAAGTTTTTGTTCAAAATTTGGTTTTTGTCTAAATTTACCAGAAATACTGACTAAAGTAATGACCAACTTGTTTTCTGGTGTCAATTTTAATTGGTTTTGTAATGTTTTGGACTGCAAATGATTACACTATTGCAACAATAATATAAGTTTATTATTTTGTATTGAATTTCAATTTTCTTTCCAGGACAACATTTAGTAGCTTATATAGTCAGTGGAGTTTGTTTAGGATTAGCTGTAATAGCCTTGGTCTGGTGCAGAATTGGTAAGTTACTTATACTGAAGTTTAGTACATTCTATCTAGTTTGCACTAATGTTTTAAAATCAAAGTAGCTAGAATAAAGTTTTTATGTTATTTAACAAAACGTGACGAAGTTTCCCAAATCTATATATTGCTAATTATCAAACTCAAGTCTGCGTTCCGACTAGTTTTATTCAAAATTTCAATATCAAAGTGTATATCAAGTTATATGAGATTTTGATGAATTTTATTTTGTTTATATTGATGTAAATGAATTAAAACGTCTAGAATAAAGTTTTCATGTTATTTAACAAAATGTAAAAAAAATGTCCCCAAATCCATATATTGGTAATTGTAAAAATACATAAGTCTGCGTTCCGTCTAGTTTTATCCATAATTTCAATATACAAGTGTTTGTAATAATTTATACCAAAATTTAATAAATTTTATCTAGTTTTTTTTGGTGTAAATAAATTATGGCGTCTAGTATAAAATTTCCAAGATATTAGGTTGTCAAATATCTTCTTTCCGCTTTTTTGCTTTTGGTTTATAATACAAAAAGGCGGAAGGGAGATATTTGACAACCTTATATTTATCATAACGTAAAAAATGTCTTATACCAACATGCCCAAAACACGTTAAACATTAAGAATCCATCAAAAGTAAATAAAGTAAATAATTAATATTATAAAATTATCAATAAAATATTGTGAATTTTATTAACTACTGAGTTGTTTTTTCCGACATGCCCTTGTAGTATACAATGTTCCTTTTCGGCCGACTATTGTAAATTCATCAAATTTATTGAATGTCCTTTACTGGACAATTGTAAATAAAAGAGTTAATAAATAAAATAAAAAAATACAGTTGCACCAACACTGTTTGTGCTTTAATTCTGCAACAAGTCCTAAATATTTACAATATGTATTTTAAAACAAAAAATTGTCTTGATAAAAGAACTTGGATACCAAAATACTTAAGTCTGTGTTCCGATTAGTTTTATTCAAAATACCAATATGTAAGTGTATATAATAATTTATGCCAAATTTTGATAAATTTTATCTAGCTTTTTCTAATGTAAATAAATTTATATGTGTAAAATAAAGATTCCATGTTATTTAATAAAGTGTAAAAAAATGTCCCCAAACTAACCAATATATTAGGTTGTCAAATATCTCCCTTCCGCTTTTTTGCTCTTGGTTTATAATACAAAAAGGCGGAAGGGAGATATTTGACAACCTATTATTTTTCACCAAATATTTTAACCAAAAACTGTAGGATCACCTCTCAACCTCCTTCACCATACCAAACTCAGTCCTTTCACTTTCTACAATTAACTGACAATTTTAATTCTTTTTTCTACGAACACTTTCAGTTTCTTTTACATTACTGACTTATATTATATTATATTTATTGTCTTTTAGGATTTACATCTGCCAGATGTCATCCGATTTGGCAACTGGCCCCACATTTTGCTTGGCATTTGTTCAATGCTCAACTTTTGCTTCATCTATTTGTAAGAAGTTACTTGGGGTCAGATGATGTAACGGCCAGGGATTCCTTGGGATGGGCCCTTTTGCTTGTGTATTTGGTCTATGTAACCTTACCCTTAAGGTAATAATTAGAAATGATAAACAAAGTCTTAGAATTATGCAGGAGGATTATTTCTTCCAGGAGTTGTTTTGATTTTTGCATTATTAGATTCAAAAGTTCATTATCCAAGATAAGGGATGAAATTTTGTTGGTTTGGTTTAAGGTTGTTTTACTTTACTAATGTGTGGTTTTGTTTTTTAGGTTAAGGTATTGTGTAATGCTGAGTTTAGGAACTTGTGCATCATATATTGTCGCCTTGGTTGGGCTTAGCAAAAGTGACAGAAATTTCATAGAACAGGTAAAAAACAATTTGATAACCTTTGATGTAAAACAATAGTCAATATTTGGTTGTTAGAATTGTTGAAACAAAATCTTGAAGATGGTTTTCCAGTACTATAAAATAGTATAAAAGCATTTATATTATTTTTTTATAACTAGCTGACCCGGCAAACATTGTTTTGCTAAGTAAGGTATATTCTAAACATTTTCTAGAGAATCAAAAATATTAATACTTTAAGTGTATAAGGATGTGTTGTTGTTTGAATGCTATATACAATGAGGTATTATAAAAACAATAAATCCCATTAGTTTGTCTATATTTTGTCAATACTGGAAATTTTTATACACTTTCTATAGAAAACATGGTATAATTCATTCAATCCAAGTCTTTTTTTTTTGGTCTTTCGACTTATTGATTACGTTTCAAGTCTTTCAAATTTCTTTTAGATTCTGGATTTTGTGTATAATTGTAAATAATACTACTGAGCTTATACAAAATTCTCAAATTTCTGCAAGGAGAGAATATAGAAAATGAATTAAGTGTTCCTTCTTTGACCTGCTTTTTCAAGTTAAAAAAGTTTCAAGTAACATTCGATTAATTAAAGTAAATTTAATAAAAAGTATATATGTAGAACAGGGCAAGGCACAAAGGTCCAATTTGATTTTGAGCAAATATAAATTATATTATAAAAATCAAACCAATTACATCACAACAAATAACACATTTCAAACAAACAATTATCTGACTACATTTAGTAAAACTGTCAGATACTTCATCATTGTAGAAATGTGTTTTTTTTATATCTTTCAAAAATTCGTTATTTAGACCTTGTGGCAAACAGATTTATGTCTTATTTTATTTTAAACGTATTTTACAAAATAATTACATTTTTAACTAATGCCAAAAACATACCAACAGAAAAAAATACTTTTATTATGGATTTTCAAAGATTACCGTTTATTTCCCGATAGCAAAGTCCAAAGAATTAAGGTTATAGCTGGTTATACATCTTTTTTCCTCTACTTTCAAATATTGTTATTAAACAATGCTTAACTTTACTTGTTTTTGACACATCGTTGGTGGACATTTTTAACCCCGGACCTTCATATATTACTATCTATTTTTCGATAATTTCTCGGAAAATGTTATTCGACAAAATGTCCCTTTGATCGATACCAAATTTAGATTCCAAAATGTTTTATAAATACCAATGAGTATACAAATAAAATCTTTTAGAACACCGTGTTTCAGAAAAATATGATTTGCAAAAAAATACTGTTACAACGGCAAAAAATGCATTTTCGCATTAACATTTCGAAAAAGTTGATATTGTTGAGTTTGTAGTAACACTTGCGGCCCTTTTACATGATTTTACTGAATTGCAAATTTGTAGCTGTTTTTGTAAGAAACATGTGTGATTTTATATTTTTATAATTTAGTACACATGTCAAGAAATAACATACTGAAATTTTGTAACTCTAGTATAAACTTTTATATTTTTAAATATTTTTCAAAATGCTCATCAAACCGTAGACTTGCAACTATTGAAAACTAGATATGCAAGAGTGTATTTGTTTACAAAATTGCACATTTATAGCATTTTTTGCTAGAAACATATGTGATTTTATATTTTTATAATTGAGTACATATATTAGGTAAAAACATACTAAAATTTTATAGCTTTCGTATAATATTGTATATTTTTAAAACATTTTTCGAAAGTACTTCTCATATCATATCCAACCGTCGTTTCGCAACTAATAAAAATAGAGTATGCAAGTGTATTGCAATTTTTTAGTGTCTTTTGTTAGAAACATTTTTGATTCTATATTTTTATAATTCACTACACATATTAGGAAATAACATACTATAATTTCATAACTGTATTACAACGCTTTATATTTTTAAAATATATTTTAAGCCGTCAATTTGTTTACATCAAAACGTTTACTAACGTTTTTGTATATAAATATACCTACAAACAAAATTACTTACTACAATTTAATCATAATTAAATAATATTTACGTAAACAATTTATTAGACGTAATTGAACATCATCTGACAAAAACGTTTGACATTTGACGTATTAGCCACCGTCCATTGCTTTATTCAAAATAGGCTTCTACAAATATGTTCAAATTAAAAATATAAAGTTTCTACGCGATTTTGAAAAAATATCTCACCTTTCCGATAACCTACAATTAGCACGAATTTTTCAAGACTGGCCAAACCGGATTTAGCCGAACAAAAGCGCGCCCTCGTGCGTTCATAAAAAAAAAAGCGTTTCACGTGTTTCAAAAAAAAATTATTGAAAAAAATGTTTGCACTCATACAATTGCATATTGTGAAGAGTTGGATAAATTTCTAGATTAATCTATGGTTTTTCACTCAAATCAAAACATATCAAAACATGTCGAAACACACACATTTTTCACTCACTTCAATCTTGTTCAAAAATCAAATTCTATAGTCCATGTTATTCAATTTGTCTAACTTTTCCTCTAGCATTTGGCAAATTGTATATTGCTGCTGGCAGCAAACGTGTTCGGCCTAATGTCCTACTTTTTAGAAGACGCTCAGCAAAGAAGAGCATTTTTGGAAACCAGACAAAGTCTGCAGGTTAAATTGGTCATTGAGGAACAAAGTGCAGAACAGGTAAGATAATAGATAACTAGTCGTGTATGGCATCGTGCCTTAAGGAAAATTGATGGAACTTCCCGTAACGTAATAAAATATTCGAGAAATTTTAAACGTTTTCAAATATATTATTATAAATAGTGTAACTTTCATTATTTTTGCTATCTTGCTTGTTATATCTGAGCAAATCAAATGTAAATCATAAATCAATTTATCCCTTAACAATCGTCATTTCATTTCGAATTTAATTTCAAAAAAAAATACTTGCCTAATTTACACAAAATTGAAAAAGTGCTCCCGTATAGTCACAGTCTAAACGCATTTGCAAATAGTTCTGTGCGACATTTTCACTTATACTGTGCTTGGCTCGGCGGCATTTTCACATTTTTCAATAGTTTTCACAATATTGAAAAAGTGTTCCTGACTTAAACAGTCTAAACGCACTCGGGTAACACATTTGCACCAGAGTGGCGCTTAGACTGTGCTTAGCCTGGGTAATATTTTGAATTTTTAATCCAAAATTACGAAAATGTTTTTTGAAAAAGAAAAAGAGTGAATCTGTTAAATATTAGAGGCCTATGAAAAATTAGTTAGTTATAAAAAAATATTTTATATGAAATAGCATAGGGCGAATTGGTCCTAGTAATCAGTTGTGGAAACTCTTAGATAAAATGTCAATTTTCTAGTTTATTTAAAAAGTATTTTTTTTAAATTTTGTATATTTACACATTGAATATTAAGAAGTGATCCTGTAAAATATTAGGGGCTTGTAAAAAAGGACTAATTTATAATAATATAATAACGCTTTGCTTTGTTGATATTACAAGTCCCTTTAGTCAATTTTTGATAAATTCCTTATATCTTAGTTTATTTACCAAGTTATTTTTAAAAAACTTTCAGAAGACTTCCAATAAGCATTCTAGTAAATTTGTGTAAAATATTAGAAGCCTACAAAAAGTATTTTAGTTATAAAAAATACTTACAAATAGTCAGCTTGAAGTAGTATTAAAGCTTTATAATGAACGTTTAGAAACTTTTAGTTCAAATTTTCTGGTTTATTTTTTAACAACTGTTGATGAAATGTTGTGTAGACGTGAATTGGGCATTTGTAAATTATCCTGTAAAAAATATAGGCCTAGGAAAAGTAGTTTGATTATAAAAATTATTCAAAATTTTCTAATTAATAATTTGCTAGTATAACGTGGCTCTTTATAGTCAACTTTGGATAAAAACCCTTAATTTAGTTTATTAGTTTATAAAAATTCTAGGTTCATTTTGTGATTATTAGAAAATTACTTGTAGACTTCTACAAGTAATTTTGTAAAAATAGAGTTCTACGGATAGTAGTTTAATTATCAAAAATTAATCAAAATCTGCAAGGCATAATTCTACATTTTCTGGTCCATTTTGGATGGAAAATCAAAATGTTAATCATAAATCAATTTATCCCTTAACAACCCTCATTTTATTTCAAATTCAATTTAAAAAAAATAGTTGCCTAATTTACACAAAATTGAAAAAGTGCTCCCGTATAGTCACAGTCTAAACGCATTCGCAAATAATTCTGTGCGACATGTTCACTTACTCTGTGCTCAGTTTGGCGGCATTTTCGCATTTTTCAATAGTTTTCTCACAAAATTGGAAAAGTGCTCCTGTACATAAACAGCCTAAACGCACTCGGGTAAACATTTGTACCAGAGTGGCGCTTAGAATGTGCTTAACATGGGTAATATTTTGAATTTTTAATCCAAAATTACGAAAATATTTTTTGAAAAAGAAAAAGAGTGAATCTGTTAAATATTAGAGGCCTATGAAAAATTAGTTAGTTATATAAAAGAAAATATATGAAATAGCATAGGGCGAATTGGTCCTAGTAATCAGTTGTGGAAACTCTTAGATAAAAGGTCAATTTTCTAGTTTATTTAAAAAGTTTTTTTTTTAAATTTTGTATATTTATACATTGAATATTAAGAAGTGATCCTGTAAAATATTAGGGGCTTGTAAAAAAGGACTAATTTATAATAATATAATAACGCTTTGCTTTGTTGATATTACAAGTCCCTTTAGTCAATTTTTGATAAATTCCTTATATCTTAGTTTATTTACCAAGTTATTTTTAAGAAACTTTAAGAAGACTTTTAATAAACATTCTAGTAAATTTGAGTAAAATATTAGAAGCCTACAAAAAGTATTTTAGTTATAAAAAATACTTAAAAATAGTCAGCTTGAAGTAGTAGTTAAAACTTTATAATGAACGTTTAGAAAGTTTTAGTTCAAATTTTCTGGTTTATTTTTTAACAACTGTTAATGAAATTTTGTGTAGGCGTGAATTGGACATTTGTAAATTATCCTGTAAAAAATATAGGCCTAGGAAAAGTAGTTTGATTATAAAAATTATTCAAAATTTTCTAATTAATAATTTGCTAGTATAACGTGGCTCTTTATAGTTAACTTTGGATAAAAACCCTTAATTTAGTTTATTAGTTTATAAAAATTCTAGGTTCATTTTGTGATTATTAGAAAATTACTTGTAGACTTCTACAAGTAATTTTGTAAAAATAGAGTTCTACGGATAGTAGTTTAATTATCAAAAATTAATCAAAATCTGCAAGGCATAATTCTACATTTTCTGGTCCATTTTGGATGGAAAATCAAAATGTTAATCATAAATCAATTTATCCCTTAACAACCCTCATTTTATTTCAAATTCAATTTAAAAAAAATAGTTGCCTAATTTACACAAAATTGAAAAAGTGCTCCCGTACAGTCACAGTCTAAACGCATTTGTAAATAATTCTGTGCGACATGTTCACTTACTCTGTGCTCAGTTTGGCGGCATTTTCGCATTTTTCAATAGTTTTCTCACAAAATTGGAAAAGTGCTCCTGTACATAAACAGCCTAAACGCACTCGGGTAAACATTTGTACCAGAGTGGCGCTTAGACTGTGCTTAGCCTGGGAAATTTTTTGATTTTTTTGGAATGGAAATTTAAAAACTCGTGCAATTTATTGGACAACTATTTTAAATTTTGTGGTAATTTTTTTGGAAAATTTTAGGAACGACTGCTCTTATCAGTTCTACCAGAGCACGTTGCAGTCAAAATGAGGCAAGATCTTGGTTCTACAGACAGCCAATTTAAAAAAATCTACATGAGTAGACACGAGAATGTCAGGTAAATATTTCCTAGGCTGTAAATTGACTAAAAACTTATGGTTCTACTTTTTTTCCAGTATTTTGTATGCAGACATCGTAGGCTTCACAGCAATCTCCTCCACCTATTCAGCCCAAGATCTGGTGAAGATTTTGAACGAACTGTTTGCAAGATTCGACAGACTGGCAGAGGTAACCACAATTTATTCACATTCACCCATAACCACCAATAATTTTCCTATTTTTACCAGAAATATCAACAATTACGAATCAAAATCCTGGGCGACTGTTACTATTGCATAAGTGGAGCTCCTGTAGAAAGACCTGATCATGCTGTTTTGTGTGTACATATGGGGCTATCTATGGTCAAAGCCATCAAGTAAATATAAAAAACAGATGTTTTTGTATTGGAGAATGGGTAAATGTGATTTTTTTGACAGGTACGTCCAACAAACAACAAATTCGCCTGTGGATATGCGTGTAGGAATTCATACTGGTGCAGTTTTGGCAGGAGTTCTTGGTCAACGTCAATGGCAATTTGATGTTTATTCCAAAGATGTAGAGTTGGCTAATAAGATGGAAAGTTCAGGAATGGCTGGGTAAGAGACTACAACCACTTTGCACTACTTTCAACCAACTTGTTTTGCAAATTTGCACCCTTTTGTGCCACTTTAAACCGACTTTTTTTCCAAATTTTCGCCTGGCTCAGACTTTTCGCCAGGTGCATTTTTTGCTAAAAATATTTATTTGTTTTTGTTTTTTCCCAAGGCGTGTCCATATTTCACACCAAACTCTGAGTTTTTTGGATGGTGAATTTGAAGTTGAACCAGCCCATGGTGAAAAACGAGAAGAAGCCTTAAGAATGGCTGGTATCAAAACATACTTCATCGTCAAAGTGTTAAAACCGGTATGATTACTAATTACGTAACCAACAATAATATAAATCTAAAAAATGAGAATTTTGTGGCAAACATACGTCAAAAAATAGTATTTCTTGTTAGTAAATTTCTGAAAATGTCAATCTATTAGTCGAGAGATCAGGCGTATTATACATAAAAACAAGCAAGGAAGAATGTTATGATGACAGAATTCTAGATGATGCAGTTGTGTACCCTTACAGTTTTTTTTAATTAAAATAAAAATCGTTGGGAATTAGTGAATACTTTATTTAGAAAAGTTATAGATAATAAAATTTTAAACATATTTTTCATACAAACTTTTGCTTCAACGTTATTAGTTTACGAGATACAATTTTTTGAAAATAAATTTATTATTTGGTTCATCTAAGTCGGATTTCTACGTGCAAATGCGTTTGTACAGTTTATTATTAATTAATTAAAAACCGTTAGAAATATATAAGAACTTCATTTACAAAAGTTGTAGGTAATAACATGTTGAATAAATTTGGTATACAAACTTTTGTTTTAGTGTTATTAGTTTACGAGATATAATTTTTTGGAAAAAAATGTTAGTATAACATTTTAGTTTCTGGTTCCTATAAGTCGGATTTCTAAGTGCAAGTGCATTTCTTCAGATTTTTTCTAGTTATATCAAAAACCGTTAAAAATATATAAGAACTTTATTTGCAAAAGTTGTAGATAATAATATTTTAAACAAATTACATATACAAATTTTTGTTTTAGCATTATTAGTTTACGAAATATAATTTTTTGGAAAAAAATGTTAGTATAACATTTTAGTTTCTGGTTCCTATAAGTCGGATTTCTAAGTGCAAGTGCATTTCTTCAGTTTATTTTTTCAATTATATCAAAAACCGTTAAAAATATATAAGAACTTTATTTTCAAAAGTAGATAATAAAATTCTGAATAAATTTTCTATACAAATTTTTGTTTTAGTGTTATTAGTTTACGAGATATAATTTTTTAAAAACGTGTTAGCAAAAAATTTTCTGCCTCATTGCAACTGTTTACTTAAGAAAAATAAATTAATGTAAATAATTTTTGTAAACATAATTTATATTCCTGATATAATTTATTTATAATACTTTAAACTATTTCAAACAATTTTTTTTTTAATTATCCTATGATTATCGCCTTCACATATATTATTTTAACTACTTATCTAAAATTTATCTTAAATATAATTGAACATTTATATTCGATTTTTTGCTCTAACATACATTTATAAGGTACTCCACAATGTAAAATATATTTTTTGAAATTGTTTAGAGACCGCTTTTTGTCTCTCAATGATTTGTAGAATTAGATAAAAAATCCATAAATCCGTGCATTTTTTTTTAATTTTCTTTAAATATATAAGAAAACTAATAAACCTATAAAAAATTGTGTGAGCAAAACCTTTTGGCAATAAAATTGTGCATCAATTTCTCATACATAACTTTGCTATAACTTAGTAGTTACAGAATTTTAAACTTAGTTATTAACTGTACCAAGATTTATTGGGTGTAAATAAAATTTTATTAAAACGCTCGGTAGGTTTTTGCAGTTTTTGCTCATTTATTTACAAACCATAAATTTTACACAAAATGTTTGTTAACAAACTTTAAAGCTAATGAAATTCTGCACAAATTTTCTATGAACAACTTTTTTTATAAATTTATTAGTTTTTAAGATATGTCAGTAATAACAGTCAGTTATCAAAAGATTTTACCTTGCTTATTTATATGTAAAAATAGAATAGAATTTCCGTCAACAACTTTTTTATAAATTTATTAGTTTTTAAGATATGTCATTATTAACAGTCAGTTATCAAAAGATTCTACCTTGCTTATTTATATGTAAAATACGCCTGGTCGCTCAGAAAACATATTTTCACATTTTCTAACAAGAAAAAAGCATAAAAGCGTTGCCATGACAATGATAATAGAGTTAGTAACTGATAATAGAGTCCAAACTAAAATTTAAAAGCAGTCTCATACAAATTTACTCAAAATTTAATAAAATATCAAACAAGTTAATTTATTACTTATTGTCATCTAGTATTCGACACCAGTACCAGAAGTAAGAAATGGCGCAGCTCCTGCAGAAACTGAAGAAACAATTCTGGCAGAAGGTTTATTTGACACCAAGGACGAATCTAAGGTACCAAATAATATTTAAATTTATTACAATTTAATTTAACTCAATATTTTTTACGTTTTTAGTGCAACAGTCCAGTTGCTGAAGAGAGTCAAGCCAGGGAAGACTCTGACGACTTCAAGAACAGATTGAGAACCGAGCTAATCAGCAGGGATGGACACAGGTGGAGAAAAACACACTAAATTCAAATAATTTTTTTGCAAATTTATAGGACAATTAACATTCATCCTTTACCCAGGGAACTGCAAAAACGTACATCTCGTCTGACCCTTCGTTTTCGTTCGGCTTCAACCGAACGCCAATACGGTAGGCACAGAGAGCCCTTATCAGCAATTCCTTTGCTATCACTGCCTTTGGCTGCAGTGGCGGCGTTGGTTTCGCAGTGGATTGCAGTGCCACTTCAGGGGGCCGAGGAGGAAAATTTGGATGGTGCTATGAAGCTGGAAACTGCTGTTTCTGTAGCTGTCACTGTGGTTTTGGGGGTCGTAACTTTGGGGGCTGCTGCTGAAACCGCCCCAAAGGTAATAAAGGACACATAAGAGTTATAATACACTTACAAGATTTTTTTTAAATTTTTTGGACCAATTTTTTACCCCCAAGAAACAACCCACAGTCTTTTACGAATGCTTCTCAATTCCTGTTGATTTTTGACACCTCCCAGGATGATGTTCATGCTACTTGCCTCAAAGAAAAATGACTCTCACACCTAGTTTTTTTACTATTTGCAGATATTTCCTCGGTGTTTAGTTTTGTGCAGTCGTGCTCTAAACGACTCCATGTACGTCAGAAGAGTTATAGCTATTCTAGGAATCGTAATGTTAGCTGTAGCTAACACAATAAACATGGTGAGCCATAAAACTTCACACAAATAATTAGGGTAGTCCTTAATACGGACATTTTCGAATTTCTTTCCTCCCAAGGGCTCAAATGGTTCTAAATTGATAAACAAATATTCTCTGAAAGTTTCAGCTCTTAATATTAACTTTTAGATAGTGCGCAATTCAATTAAAAGTTTTGTATCAAATTATATCATTAAGTAAATTCTTGCGCCATCTGTGATAGCAAATTTGTAATTTTGATGCCAATTTAGATGTCAAGTGATTTATAAATAATTTTATGTGACATATTTTTTAACTTCCCGTAGGGCAAGTTATAGTAATCGCAAAAAACCGAAAATGAAAATTTTTATATATCTTTACGTTTCAAAGGTTCAAAAGTTCAAGTTTCAAAATGGATGTATGTGTGTATGTGTGTGTGTGCGTGTGTGTATGTATGTGCGGATACAAATTTTCGTCGACGATTTCGGGAACACCGATCAACCGATTTGAATAATTCAAAAAGCATTCGATTCGTATTGATAAGGAGACGTGCTGATTAGTTTTAAGCGAAGGCAGGTCTAGCCATTTTGAAGATACGGGGCAAAAAGTGCCAAAAAAATTAGCTCGGTTTTTAAGAGAACTGAGCGTCCGATTTTAAAAATTCAAAAAGCATTTTACTTGTATTGAAAAGATAAAGATTTGTTCAAATTTTTATGAAGGCAGGTCTAGCGGTTTCGGAGATCTAATGACAAAAGTAAAAAAAAATGCTATTTGGCGGTCAAAAATGATCATTGGACATATGCACATCAAATTATCAGATATTTTACAGGATTTAATAATAAGTATAAATTTTGTTTACATTTCTATGGGTTCCGTACCAATGTTTATCTGTTAGACGGCGACGCGGCGCTTACGCGCTTTGACGTTTCGCCTCTATGCAGTTAAAGCAGTACGATTGCTTTGAAAAAAAGTTTAGAATTTTCAAAATATGTCAAAATAAAGAAAACATTCTTTTTTCAGAAAAACAATTTTCCCAAAAAAAGTAATTTATTGTCAAATTTATAGTTTCTCAAAAATCTAATTTGGTCGAAGTAAATTTTTTTCAACAATGTTAATCTTTTTAAAAAAATAAAAATTTTTGGTACGGGAAGTTCCAGCAATTTGCCTTAAGATTAGATACTAGATGCCATGCGCCCCATTAGTTAACATAAGTCATTAAGAAAATTCTTGCGCCATCTGTTATAGCAAACTTGTAATTCTGATGGCAATTTGGAGGTCGAGTGTCATAATTTTTGAATTTGCACAGATGGCGCAATAATTTACTTATTGACATATGTTAATAATGAATATATGAAACTTTTAATTGAGTTGCGGACTATCTAAATGTTAATATTAAGAGCTAAAACTTTCAGAGATTCATATTTTATCAATTTGGAAGCATTTGAGCCCTTGGGAAAAAAGAAATTATTACTATTACTATTATATATATATATATATATATATATATATATATATATATATCCATGTATCTATTACTCTTACTTTTATTCCAGTCGACTTGCGATCCAGACAACCCCAAAAGACAATTCTCCTTAAATTGTACATCTCGTCAACTACAATTAATAAATAGGGATTTTCTGCCAACTGCAAGTCCTTTGACAACCTTGACAGGGTCGTGTAATCATCCCAGCTATTTCAGCTGTTCAGCAGCTTTGTGTTTGATTACTGCAGCGATTTTGCCACAACTTTCCCATTTTGACCAAGGCGATTTTGATGACTCTGGTGACTGGGATACATTGTGCCCTGAATTTGCTGGTATTATATAATCGGTTGGATTGTGAGGATTTGAACAGCAATCGGGATTGGACGACGTGAGTAATAGATTTTTTTTAATTTTAGTAGATTAGCAAAGAATTGAACTTATTTATTTTCAAATTTATTTAATTTTTTTGCAGCTTTACACCTGGAAAACTAACTTTGTCTTATATGCTGATTGCTGTAACAATTGCCTTGTCGTATCTTGCTCGTCATGTAAGTATAATAAAGGAACAACATTTTGCCAATAGGCACTTTATAGTAATCTTATCTTAAAGTCAGATAATCTTATATATAAAAGTTAAGCTCTCGATCAAATGATCCGGTAAAACTCGAAAACGACTAAACCGATTTGGGCCAGTCTTAGTCTTGAAAAATTCGTGCTAATCAGTAGGTCGTCGGAAAGGCGAGATATTATTTCAAAATCGCGTAGAAACTTTACATTTTTAATTGAACATTTTTGTAGAAGCGTAATTTAAATAAAACAATGCACGGGTGGCTAATACGTCAAATGTCAAACGTTTCTGACAGATGTTTAATAAGATGTTTTACGTGAATATTATTTAATCATGATTAAATTGTAGTAAGTAGTTTTGTTCGTTGTTATATTCATACACAAAAACGTTTTGACGTAAACAAATTGACGGCTTAAAATATATTTTAAAAATATAAAGCGTTGTAATACAGTTACAAAATTTTAGTATGTTATTTCTTAATATGCGTACTGAATTATAAAAATATAAAATCAAATATGTTTCTAATATAAGAAACTAAAAAATTGCAATGCACAATTGCATACTCTATTTTTATTAGTAGCGAAACGACGGTTGGATATGATTTGAGAAATACTTTGGACAAATGTTTTAAAAATATACAATATTATACTATAGCTATAAAATTTTAGTATGTTTTTACCTAATGTATGTACTCAATTATAATAATATAAAATCACATATGTTTCTAACAAAAAAAGCTAGAAATGTGCAATTTTGTAAACAAATGCACTCTTGCATATCTAGTTGCAAGTCCACGGTTTGATGAGTATTTTGAAAAATATTTAAAAATATAAAACGTTACACTAGAGTTACAAAATTTTAGTATGTTATTTTTTAATATGTGTACTAATTTATAAAAATATAAAATCACACATGTTTCTCACAAAAACAGCTATAAATTTGCAATTCAGAAAAATCATGTAATAGGGCCGCAAGTGTTACTACAAACTCAAAAATATCAACTTTTTTGAAATGTTAATATGAAAATGCACTTTTTGGCATATTTTTCTCAAACACGGTGCTCTGAAATCTCATTTGTATAATTTGTATAATTTTATATTTTTATAATTAAGTACACATATTAAAAAATAACATACTAAAATTTTGAAACTCTAGTATAACGTTTTAGATTTTTAAATATTTTTCAAAATACTCATCCAACCGTGGACTTGCGACTATCGGAAACTAGATATGCAAGAGTGCATTTGTTTACAAAGTTGCACAATTATAGCTTTTGTTGTTAGAAACATATGTGATTTTATACTTTTATAATTGAGTACGTATACTAGGTAATAGCATATTAAAATTTCATAGCTCTAGTATGATATTGTATATTTTTAAAACATTTTTCAAAAGTCCTTATCATATCATATCCAACCGTCGATTTGCAACTAATAAAAATAGAGTATGCAAGTGTGTATTGCAATTTTTTAGTTTTTTCTGTTAGAAACATATTTGATTTTATATTTTTATAATTCAGTACACATATTAGGAAATAACATACTACAATTTCATAACTGTATTACAACGCTTTATATTTTTAAAATATATTTTAAGCCGTCAATTTGTTTACGTCAAAACGTTTACTAACGTTTTTGTATATAAATATAACTACAAACAAAACTACTTACTACAAGTTAATCATAATTAAATAATATTTACGAAAAACATTCTATTAAACGTAATTGCACATCATCTGTCAAAAATGTTTGACATTTGACGTATTAGCCACCGTCCATTGTTTTATTCAAATCACGCTTCTACAAAAATTTTCAAATTAAAAATGTAAAGTTTCTACGCGATTTTGAAATAATATCTCACCTTTCCGACAACCTACTGATTAGTACAAATTTTTCAAGACTAAGACAGGCCAAATCGGTTTAGCCGTTTTCGAATTTTAACGAATCATTTGATCGAGAGCTCCATTTTTATATACATAAAATAACTATTTATTTCAATCAATTTTCTCTCCAGATGGAAAGAGTATCAAGAGTCTCCTTTCTATGGAAGACTTCAGTAACCGAGCAAAGAGAAAAGGCCTCAGATATGAGACAGAGAAATGAAGCCTTGGTCTACAACGTGTTACCGCCACATGTTGCAGCCCATTTTATGGGACAGAGAAAAAGACAACATGACGAATTGTACTCGCAAAGTTATGCAGAAGTTGGGGTGCTTTTTGCTAGTATGCCGAATTTTTCAGGTAAATATAAAAAGATCGATGAAAATAATAATGGACTCTTAAATTTATTTAATTTTTGTAAATTTATGTCTAAAATCTGTTAAGTTTTTGCCAAATTTTACTGAAAAAACTTGATAATTCTGTAAAAATTCTGACTATTTTGGATATGATTTAATAAACTTGAATCAATTTTGACAATTATGTGCAAAATTTAATAATCCGATACAAAATCTATAAAATTTACTGAACAATATGACGGCCTCTTAAAAACCTAGACATTTGCGAGTTATTTGACAAAAACCAAAAAAATGACTGAAATTTTCTATTAAATGCTAAAGAATATGAAAGATCGAATTCAAAGTAGTTTTTTTCCAAACTTTTATGGTTCGGGGTCTATATAACTGTTGGCATGGAAATGTAGTAAATTTTATCTAGTTTCTCCCTATTTAACCGAAAAGGGGTGCTTTCATATGATGTTTGTGAGTTATTTGACAAACTAGACAATTTCTTAAAGAAAAAAAACAATAACGCCATGAAAATACAGACGATCTTCTGAAAAACCAGAGTTAGTGCTGAAAAACTAGACGACTTCCTTAAAAACTTGACGACTTTCTGGTAAATCAAAACATCTTTTGAAGAACCAGATGGCTATCTACAAAATCACAGCTTTTTCTGCAAAACCAGACGACCTCTTGGAAAACTAGATAACCTCATAAAAATACGAACGACTTTCTGAAAAACGAGACAATCTCTTGAAAAACTAGACGACCTCCTTGTAAACCAAAAAATCATCTGAAGAACCAGATGGCACATTTTGGAAAACCAGAGGACCTCCTAGAAATCCAGATAATATAGAATAATCATAAAAAGATAGAAATTACCAGGAAAACGTTTCACTTTTCAAGAGATTGTTTGTTTGGTATTTCAGATTGTTTTTTAGGACATCATGTGGTATTTCAGAACTAATTTCTTTATCTAATCTAATCTAATTTTCATTTTCATCTAATTTTTTATGAGTATTCTCTATGAAAATTCTCTGGTTTCCTAGTCAGCCATCTGGTTTATTAGACGAATACCTAAAAAATAAGATATTCTCCTGAAAAATTTAATCTCCTTCTGAGAAATCATATGTGCTCCTCAAAATTTTGATAACTTACTAACAAATTGGACTACTTTGTGGCAAATAAGATAATTTAGTAAGAAATTTGATACCATTATAAACAATTGTACGATTTTGTAAAAAATTAGACTAGCTCCAAAAAATCTGATGATCTGCAGAAAAATTAGACAGCTAAATATAGAAAAATAAACAACTTGATGCAAAAATTTAAGACTGAGTAAACAATTAGCTGACTGTGTAAAAAATAGATGACTTGGTGATGAATTAGATAACTTAGTGACAAATTAAATGACTTAGTGACAAATTAGATAACTTGGTGACAAATTAGACAACCTTCCTACTTATTTAGTAAATTTTTAGTTAGCGATTTACAAGCATCAAAATTGAGCAAAAGTAAATTCAAAATTTTTTCCCAATATTGTTTCTTAGCAATTATTAATTTACAACCTATGATGTCGAAATCTGTAGAAGAATTATTATGTCTCCAGTTTCTGAAATTTTTTAGTTGATAGAGTCAACATTGATGAATACCTTTGCCAATATTTTAAATAATCAATAATTAGCAAATATTATTATATATATTATCAATAATTAGCAAATATTTTTTATATTATTTATATATATATATATATATATATATATATATATATATAAGTTTGTCAAATATCTCCCTTCCGCCTTTTTGTATTATAAACCAAGAGCAAAAAAGCGTAAGGGAGATATTTGACAACCTAATGTATATATATATATATATATATATATATATACATATACACATATATATATATATATATTATAAGTTGTTAGTTGCCAACATCGGATTTTTATAATTTTTTTCCATTTTGTAGATTTTTACTCAGAAGAAACTGTCAACAATCAAGGATTGGAGTGTCTTAGATTCCTCAACGAAGTCATTTCGGATTTTGATGCAGTAAGTCAGAAAAAATCTTACCATAACACTTATGCAACAAATACATATTTATTTATATGTTTTCATATTATTTTTAGCTTTTGGAACTGCCTCAATTCAAAGACATCATAAAAATTAAGACAATCGGATCAACTTATATGGCAGCAAGTGGATTGAAGCCTACAGATATTGTTCAGGTAACAAAATTCGGGACATAACCTTAAAAACAAGTAGCAAGGTCGTAAAAACGACTTTGAATTTGTTTTTTTATATTCTTTGGTAATCAATGGAAAACTCGGGACGTTTTTTTGTTTTTGTCAAATAGCTCACAAATATCAGGGGCAAGCACCCCTTTTTAGTTAGATAGTGTAACATTACTGCAATGTTTGTAAAAATACTACAATGGGGGCAAAAATACTACAATGTTTGTAAACAATACTACAATGGGTGTAAAATTACTGCAATGTTTGTGAAAATACTACAATTGGTGTAAAAATACTACAATGGGCGTAAAATTACTACAATGTTTGTAAAAATACTACAATGGGCGTAAAATTACTACAATGTTTGTAAAAATACTACAATGGGCGTAAAAATACTACACTGTTTGTGAAAATACTACAATGGATGTAAAAATATTACATTGTTTGTAAACAATACTACAATGGGTGTGAAATTACTACAATGTTTGTAAAAAATGTTTGTAAAAATACTATAAAATTACAAAAGTATTTTATGAAAAATAAGAAAAGATGTAATAATTTTTTATCCTCAAAAGCAATTGTTTTGTCAATACAAGCAGAAAGTTTTTTAGATCATTCAAATCGGACGCTTAGTTTACTCAAAAACTGCCATTTTTTGCACATTTAGCTCCGTATTTTCGAAATGGCTGGGCCTGCCTTTGCCAAAAACTAATCACCTCTCTTCTCAATCATTACAAGTTGAATGTTTTTTAGATCATTCAAATCCGATACTCCGTGTTCTTAAAAACTCGATTTGTATTTTCTGCACTCTTTACTCCGTATCTCCGTAACGGCTGGACCTGCCTTTGATAAAACCGAATCAGCACATCTTCTTATCAACAGGGATCGAATGTTTTTTAAACAAAACACACACACACATCCATTTAGTTTCTGGGGTATGCCCCTTAAAAATGTTTAGAAACCTTCAAAACGTCGAGAAATGTAAAAAAAAATATTTTCGATTTTCGGCCCATTACTATAACTACCCTACGGGAAGTTGAAAATCAAATGTTTTTATTGGTGACATCCAGATTGTAGCATAAATTTCTGTCCAGTTATCCATTATCCATTAACTATTATTTTTCAGAGTCCAAATGCACCAATAACAACCAGATGGTCCCATCTGGCCCTTCTGGTAGATTTTGCTCTGGAGTTGAAACGAGCTTTACAATGTATAAACGAGCAATCATTTAACCATTTTGTTCTAAAAATGGGCGTAAATCATGGCCCAATAACTGCTGGTGTAATTGGGGCCAGAAAACCACATTACGACATCTGGGGAAACACTGTAAATGTCGCCTCCAGAATGGAGAGCACTGGGAAAGCTGGAGCTATACAGGTAATAAAAAGATATATGATTTTGGGTAAAATATAAATATAAATATAAATATGAATTTTATATATAAAAATGGAGCTCTCTTTCAAATGTCTTAGTAAAACTCGAAAACGGCTAGACCGATTTGGCCAGTCTTAGTCTTGAAAAATTCGTGCCAATCCAGAGATGGTCGGAAAAGCGAGATAATATTTCAAAATCGCGTAGAAACTTTACATTTTCAATTTGAAAATTTTTGTAGAAGCGTAATTTAAATAAAACAAAGTTTGGTTTGTAGTTTTATGTATACACAAAACGTTAGTAAACGGGCCCCAAGTGTTACTAGAGACTCAAAATATCAACTTTTTTGAAATGTAATATGAAACTGCACTTTTCTGCAAATTTTTCTCAAACACGGTGCTTTGAAAGATCTCATTTATATAATTATATACTCATTGGTATTTATAAAACATTTTATAGGTTATATTATTTTTTATTAATGTTTAAGTTCAGAACCTAAATTAGGTATCGATCAAATGGACATTTTGTCGAATAACATTTTCCCAGTTATAATTTCCCACAATTTATCGAAGAATAGATAGTAATATATAAAGGTCCGGGGTTAAAAAGGTCCACCACCGATGTGTAAAAAATCAGTAAAGTTAATCATTGTTTAACAACAATATTTGAAAGTAGAGGAAAAAAGATGTATAACCATATATAACCTTGATTTGAAAACGGTAATCTTTGAAAACCCATAATAATAGTATTTTTGTCTGTTGGTAGATTTTTAGCATTAGTTAAAAATGTAATTATTTTGTAAAATACCTTCAAAATTATAATAAAGCTTTAAACCTTTTTCATTTAAACAAATTTTTGAAAGTCAACAAAAAAGCACATTTCTACCATGATGAAGTAGCTGGCAGTTTTACTGAACGTAGTCAGATAGTTGTTCGTTTGAAATGTGTTATTTGTTGTGATATAATTGTTTTGGTTTTTACAATACAGTTTATATTTGCTCAAAGTCAAATTGGACCTTAATGCCTCGCTCTGCCTTACATATATACTTTTTATTAAATTTACTTTAATTCATCGAATGTTACTTGAAAATTCTTAAAAACCAGGTCAAAAAAGAAATACTTAATTCATTTTCTATCTCTCCTCGTAGAAATTTGAAAATTTTGTATAATCTCAGTAGTATTATTTATAATTATACACAAAATCCAGAATTTAAAAAAAATCTGAAAAACTTGAAACGTAATCAATAGGCCGAAAGACCAAAAAAGACTTGGATTGGATTATACCATGTTTTCTATACAAAGTGTATAAAAGTTCCAGATAAAATATAGACAAACTAATGGGGTTTATTTGTTTTTATAATACCTCACTGTATAGAGCATTCAAACAGCACATCATAGAATACACTAAAAGTGTTAATATTTTTGATTCTCTAGAAATTGTTTGGAATATACCTTACTTAGCAAAACAACGTTTGCCGGGTCAGCTAGTATAAATATAAATATAAATATAAATATGGGAATAATTAGGTGACCTCGTATACAACTTTGTATAATTTATAATTTTTCTATCTATTTTTTATCTAGGTGACAGAAGAAACCTGCGACATCCTCCAACACTTTGGCTACACCTTCGAACAAAGAGGTTTAGTGGCTGTCAAGGGCAAAGGGCAACTTATGACCTATTATTTGCAGGGCAAAACCACAAAACCACCAGCATCGCCACTTATAGGCCTGACAACTATGGAAACATTGCAGGTGAAGTATAATTTTGCCTATATATTAATATATTATATTTTATATATATTTATAAGGTTGTCAAATATCTCCCTTCCGCCTTTTTGTATTATAAACCAAGAGCAAAAAAGCGGAAGGGAGATATTTGACAACCTAATTTTATTATATATTATATATAATAAAATATTTATATTATTATTAATTATTTTAATTATTTAATTATATATAAATTATTTAATTATCAATAAATTATTATTAAATAATATTTAATAATTCACACATACATACATATGTATATATATATATATATATATATATATAATGTTAAAAACTATTAATAATGAAAATTTAAGCCCAGTATAATATAAATTTCAATAAATAGAAAAAAAATAAAGTGCCTGAAAAAAAGGATTATTTTGATAGAATAAATTATGTAAAATTTACCTTTATTATATATAATAGATTTAAACTATCCCTAAAAATATCAAAAATTTTTGTTCTTCATACACTTATAGATATATTAGGTTGTCAAATATCTCCCTTCCGCCTTTTTGTATTATAAACCAAGAACAAAAAAGCGGATGGGAGATATTTGACAACCTAAAATATAAAATCTAAATAAAATTCAAAAGACTGAATAATAATTGACAAGAGCCTGAAATAATATCTATTATTATTATTGACTACGGCTTGCTTATGAATTAATAAATAAATAAATAAATACGAATACAAATCAATAAACATTTTAATTTGTTGGCGTATGTGAAAAGTGTGCGTGTAGTTTTAGTAAAATCGATAAAAATATGTAAAATTGTAATTAAAGGTTTGGAAGTATTTTTTAAATTTGAAATATAGTTTGTAGTTGATATTAAAAATATAATCAATTTTTTTTTAGAAGTAACTTTTTAAAGAAAATTATACAAAACGACAAATTAGACAAAAACCAAAAAAATATCCAGAATTTTCTATTTATTGCTAGGGATCGACTACAAAGTCGTTTTATTCCAAACTTTTATATCGGAGTGTATATAACTGTTGGCATGAAATCGTAGTAAATTGTACCTAGTTTTTACCTATCTAAGTGAAAAAGAGTGCTTTCATGTGATATTTTTGAGTTATTTGACAAAAACCAAAAAATGTCCCGAAATTTCTATTAAATCCTAATGAATATGAAAGATCAAATTCAATGTCGTTTTATTCATATATATATAGTAATAAGTATATTAGCAAAATTTGTTTAGAATTTAACAGGCTATAATTGCTACTAAAAATTACTTTTTGCCTATAGGCAAGTTGCACAAAGCAAACCTTTTTAACTGTGAATAAATTACAACGATAAAACGTAGGCATGTGGTTTTAGTAAAATCGATTTAAATATGTAAAATTGTAAATAATAGTTTGGAATTATTTTTCACATTTGAAATCTAGTTCATATTTAATATTAAAACCATATATAAAATTATTACGTAAGTAATTTTATCAAAAAAGTTGAAGATATCGAAAGGTGTCGTATTCATAATGTTTTTATTGTTGGAGATTACTTTGATTTTTGGGCTGTTGTAGTGATGTAAATATAAAATATAAACGAAAAGTGTATTTTCAAATGTCCCAAAATTTCTATTAAATCCTGAGTAATATGAAAGATCGAATTCAAAGTCGTTTTATTCCAAATTTTTATATCGGGGTTCATATAACTGTTGGCATGGAATCGTAATTGTTCAAAATTTAACTTGGTATAATTTGTGCTCATATAGTTTTTTGTCTGCTATTTAATTTTTTTAGATTTTGCCAAATAGACAAAAATTTGCACCTAAAGTTCTCATCAAATTTTCTTAAACACAGAAATAAAATATTAGAAAAGTTGTATATAAAAATATATACAGTATTATTACTTTTATCATTATTAACAATTTTATAAATTCAATTATATTTTAAATATATTATTCAAAATATATTTACATATATATACAAAAAATGTCGTATATAAAATAGTTCTTATTATATTAAACTTATGTAAGACTTTGATGTACAATACAAACATAAATATAAAAAAATACTATAAGTGTTTATGGAAAATTTCTTCAAAATTTATGAAGCTCTAATTTGTTTTACGACAATTATTCAATAGCTATATATTGTTTTTGTAGATATTTCTAAAATAACAAAATTTTGTACCTCACGACATTGATAATAATTAAAATAAGTAAAGAAATTGTTAAGAAAACACGTAGTAAAGAAAATTTTTTTTAAATATATAAATTTATAATTTTTGTTGACTGTTGTAATTTATTAAGTTAAAATACAGTTTGAATTTACTATTAAAAATATAATAAGAATATAAAAGATCGAGAAAATGTGTAAAACGAGTTTTAATTGGAGTGTAAAATGTTTTAAAGTTTATATTTATTAAAAAGTTTTAAATATTCAAAAATAATTTCGGCTTTGATCCGTTTTACAACCCTAAATGTTTGAGACATACTATAATTTATTGAGCAGGATTTGTTCAGAATTTAATAATCTATAATTTGTTTTTAAATAGCTACTGTAGTTTTTAAGATATTTTTAAAATAACAAAATTATGCACGCCACGCCATTGATAATAAATAGACATTTGCAAAGTAAATTGTCAAATTTATAATTAAAATATTATTTCAACTACAATATATATATATATATATATATAAAATTAAATACCAAAATACGTAACAAAAATAAATACATCAATAAAATTTTAGGTTCACTTACCGCCAAAGAAAAATCCCAAATATCCTACATTTATTTATTATATTAAACTTATATAAGTATATATTTATCACTCACAATATTTTAATATTATTTGCACTCACTAACACTTAAATGATGTTTATAAACTGATTTTAATAAATTTTAATAAAATACTGAGGCTTGACTAAAATTACAAGCAAAATGTCAATGGTACTGGAAATTAATTATTATGGACATCTTTTGGGCATAAAATGTATTGAATAAATTATTTTAAATGATATAATTATTTAATAATTATATATATATATATATATATATATATATACATCATAAAAAATGCTACTGCCACCCATAAATTTATTGTTATTTTACACGGCATATATTGTTATTTTTGAAATATGAAAAAAGTGCATTGGGTTAGTCAATTGTATTTTCTGGCTAAAGTATTTCTACTACAAAGCTGAAATTTTAGTATGTTATTTTAAAATACTTAATAAAAATTTTCTTTTACCTTTTTTCTATTTCTTTTATTTTTTTTAGGAAGAAGACGAGTTAGTCCAAGGAGATTCCGACGCAAGTCCAGTAGGCGGTTTTAATGCAACAAGTCCTGGAAGTGTTCGACTTTGTCCTTCAAACAGCACTTCAAAAGACATATCAATAGTACAATCTAAATCTAAATCGAATTTAGAAACTGAGAATTTGAATACTAATCTAGAAAGTAATAAAATTTGCGAAAATTTCGATCTCAAATCGGACGACCCTAGTGTTGCCCTTATGGGCGCTTCTAACGGCTCGGGGGATGCTGAAAGCGATGCACTTTTACCTAAAGATAATTGATAGAGGAAAAAATAGTTGTAATACCCAAAAACTAAATACTACAAAATATTTTTGAATATTTGCTTAAGCTAATGTAGCAAATTTGGTTTTTGTAAGTTCACGCATATTGTGGTAAAATCAATTCAAATATCAACAAAATATTTGGACATATTTGGATTTTAAAAACTTGTATCTTTGAATTTTCCAAAGGCACAGAAAAAGTTAAAAAATACAAATTGACGAGAAAATATGTGTTTATGCTTTGGCAAAATTTTGACAGTTTTGAGTTACACACAAAAATTTACCAAAAAATGTCGAGAACAAAGTATTTGTTCATTACCTCAAAAATTTTCAGGGTAATATTATTGCCCTGTTTTGATTTATTTCTAAATTTTGCCAAAACACAAAATAATTTTTAGTGGGCAAATTTGTACACATCTGTATATTTTTAAAAAAAAAAATTCAACAGAATTTCAAATCAATAAGTTTTAGAACTAAGTTAGTATCTAACAAAAAATAAAAAATATTATCTTTATCGTTATTGAATTATGTAGCAATTTACGAAAAAGTAATGTGAATTTGCACAAAATATAAAGCATAAAATTATCAACAAAGTTGGCCAAAAAATTCGAAATTAATAATTTGAAATTTATCTAATGGTATTAATTTTTTTTTAAATAAATGAAGACAATTCATCTGCACAAATTTGAAAACAATACTCAAAATAATAAAGAATTTGTCTTTAGAGAATTTAGTACATTTTTACAACTTTTAAAGCCAAAATTTGAATTTTGATAAGGCATATCTTTTTATTTTCAAAAGATAAAAATATAGTTTGTTCGCACAAAATATAAATCAAATACTTAATTATAATCAAATTAATAATGATTAATTAATTTTGGAAATAAAGCAAAAACTATTAAAATACAATTAAATAACCGAGAAATATCAAAAAGTCAATTTTAAACATGAATTTTACTTAAATTATTGAAAATTTAAGATGGAAAGTAAAAGACTTTTTTGAACTAGACGTTTAGCTTTAAAATAAAATAAAAACTATGAAAATCTAGTAATATAAAATCGAAATTTGAGCAAAATTGCATGCAAGTATCGAAAACTTTGATCAGATATAATTATGTTCAAGCATGTTATGACTTTCAAAATTTGAACACAAATTTGTTTAAAAAAATTGAAAATTTGAGGATAACATATATGAAGAAAATCAAATATAGACTTTTAACTTTGGAATGAAATAAAAACCATTAAAATCTAAAAATTTTGCAACGAAATATTTTTAAAAATGCAACGAAATATTTTTAAAATTGCAAAAATGCGTCCAAAACTTTTGACAGCATTATGCTTGATGCAAAAAATATCGAAAAGTCAGTTTTGAACGCAAATTTTGTTAAAAAAATTGCAAATACAAGACTAAAATATTAAACAAAAATTAAAATTAGACTTTTAACTTTGGAATAAAATCATCAAAATCTAAAAATCTTACATCGATATATAAGTAAAATTGCAAAAAAGCGTCCAAAGTTTTTGACACCATTATGGTTGATGCAAAAAATATCAAAAAGTCAGTTTTGAACGCAAATTTCGTTAAAAAAAATTGAAAATACAAGACTAAAATATTTGAAGAAAATTAAGATTGGACTTTCAGCTTTAAATTAAAATTAAAATCATGGGAATTAAAAAACTCAATCAAGAAATATATAAAAATTTGCAAATGAATTGCATAAAAATTCTAGTCAACACAAAAACTAGTATAGTATTAGGAAAATTGCAAAAGAAAAAAAATTAGTACAGTATTAGTATAAATATTAATATATATATATATATATATATAATATATATATATATTTATATATATATAGGTAATGAAGAATATTATAATTTATGATTTTTAGCTAGTAGCAAATAGTTTAATAGATAAATAAAATTATATATGTCTTAAAGTATATTTTTAAAATGTAAAATAATTTGTTTAATATTTTTAAAATTAGATTAAATAATTTGTAGGTGTTGTAGATAGCTTGAAATTGCTTATTATTAATTTATGCATATATATATATATATATATATATATATATATATATATATATATATATAATTTAGTATAAATTTTGAAGCTCTTGTATAAATATCTATATATAGTGGTGCTTTTTTTACAAAATCACTTGTAACTTTTAAACCATGAATTTAATTTAAAAACAATATTTGAAAAATTTATTTAATATTTATTAAATAATAATATTGTCTAATATAATAAAACCTAATATAATTGCATTTGAATAGACCGTGTGCATTTGTTTTCAATATTGCTCACAAATCGTGAATTATTCGATATATATATATATTTTTAAAAAATTGTATCTTTCAAACTAATGAGTATACTAATACAGTATATTTGCAAAATTTATGCACAATTCAATTGTTTATAATTTTTGCTAACAAACTTTTGTTTTATATACCACAGTTTTGAAAATTTTAAATTTTGAAAAATATAAAAAAATGTCCACCCAAAAGAGCTTCACTATTTATATTTTATACTTTTATTCCCGAATTTGCTTAAAAATGGCTTAAACTAAAATTAGTTAAATTTAAGATGTACAAAAATATGTTTAAAAAAACTGGTAATTATCTATGTGGGAACAAACTTAGAATGTTGTAGAAAATGTAAATAGAAATATATTTAAACAAATTAAAACTATATCAAAACATTAGAGCTTAAATATAGACCGTTTAGAAAAAAATGATTTTGTGGAATTAGAAACTCAAGTTTGAAATTCTGTAACTTTTAAAATAGTTGAGTTGTGAATTTTGTGTATTAAGAATTTGTGCAAAATTTTTATAAGATTTTAGGTTTGTTAATAAACATTTATAGTTTATAAATAATTTAGCAAAAACTGCAAAAACGCGCCAGGCGCTTGCTTAAATTTTATTTACGCCCAAAACTAATAAATCTAGGTACAGTTATTAACTAAGTTTGAAATTCTGTAACTACTAAACTAATTAATCTATAGCAAAGTTGTGTATGCAAAGTTTGTGCAAAATTTAATTGCCAATAAGTTTTGCTAGAACAATTTTTTTGTAGGTAAATTAGTTTTCTGGATATTTCAAAAAAAAAAAAAAGAAAAAATGCAGGATTTTGTATTCCTCGTACAGAGTTTCTATTTACCATTTTAACTGAAGACAAATCTTTAACTAAGTTAAAAATTCTATATTATCTAAACTTATTAAGTTATAACAAAGTCTTGTATAAAAAGTTTGTGCAGAATTTAATTGCCAAGAAGTTAAAACAATTTATAGTATGTAAATTAGTTTTTGGTAAATTTGTAGAAAATTGAAAAAATGCACGGATATTCTAATTTTTTTTTGTCTAATTCTGCAAAATCATTGAAAGACAAAAAGCGGTCTCTAAACAATTTTAAAAAATATATTTTACATTGTGGAGTACCTTATAAATGTATGTTAGAGCAAAAAAATCGAATATAAATGTTCAATTATATTTAAGATAAATTTTAGATAAGTAGTTAAAATAATATATGTGAAGGCGATAATCATAGGATAATTTAAAAAAATTGTTTGGAATAGTTTAAAATATTATAAATAAATTATATCAGAAATATAAATTATGTTTACAAAAATTATTTATGTTTGTTATTATTATTTTAACACCAACAGATACAAAGTCAAAGAAGAAATTTTATGCTAATATGTTTTTTCAAAAAATTATATCTCGTAAACTAATAACGTTAAAACAAAAATTTATATGGAATTAATGTTCAAAATTTCATTATCTACAAATTTTTATAAGTTTTTATATATTGGCAATGATTTTTGATATAATTAAAAAAACTGAATAAATGCACTTGCAGTTAAAAATTCGACTTGAAGGAATCAAATACTAAAATTTTAAACTGATTTTTTTTTTCAAAAATTTGTATCTCGTAAACTAATAACGTTAAAATAAAAATTTATATACAAAGTATGTTCAAAATTTTATTATGTAGATAATAATTTTGCTTATAAACATTTCAGATATTTGCAACGGTTTTTGACATAAATAATAAAAACTGTAAAAATGCACTTGCACATAGAAATATGACTTAGAGGAACCAAATATTTAAATTTTATACAGATTTTTTTTCAAAAAATTATATCTTGTAAACTAATAACACTAGAACAAAAATTTGTATACACAATTTGTTCAAATTTTTATTATCTATAAATTTTGCAAATAAATTTTGCATATATTTTCAACAGTTTTCATTTTAATTTAAAACTAGTGGGGTGCATGGCATAGTACCTTAAGGCAAAATGCTGAAACTTCCCGTACCAAAAATTATTTTTTTTTTAAAAGATTAACATTTTTGAAAAAAATTTACTCTGAAAAAATTAGATTTTAGAGAAACTATAAATTTTTGACAATAATTTACTTTTTTTTTAAAAAAAAAAGACTTTTTGAAGAAAAATTTTATAAAATAAGTAAAATTTCTGAATAATAAAAATAATACTAGAAAAACAATAAAGTAGAATAAAAACAATAAGTGAAAGATAATAAATATAACAAAATAACAATATTAGAAATAATAATAATAATTCTGATTTTTGTTGAATTTCTTCATTTACAGTCAACATGTTGCTGTGATGAAAATATTGTTTTTTATATAAAATTGAGCTTTTCGAATTTTATAAAAAACTCTTCCTGGCGGTTGGAAGGAATTCCTTCAAAATTGTAAGACATTTGTAAGCCTCGAAAAATATAAACAAAGCGAATCATTTTTCTGGTAAACTCGTTTTAATACTAACAATTGTATAATATTTCTTTTCAGAAGATCTCGTAATTTTGTGTGCCATTATTGAAATTTTTACAGGTGCGCGTTCCAAAGTTACGTTTTGTTATAAGTTATAACTCGAAATAAATTATTCGACAAAATGTCCTCTTCGATTCGATCGATTCCAAATTTAGGATCTTAATTTAAATAACCTAAAGTGAGTGTTTTTAGAGTACAGGATTTGAAATAAATACGTTTTCCAAAAAACCGTGTGATATAAGCCAAAAACAGTATTTTCACATAAACATTTAAAAAAAGTCGATACTTTGAGTTTCTAATAACACTTGCGGCCTGTTTAATAATATTTGTGTCTATAAATAAAACTTCTTACCACAATTAAATGATATTCATCTAAAACATCCTATTAAATTTAATTGAACATAATCAGCAGTCAAAACCATTTGACGTTTGACGTATGAGCCGCCATCGATTGTTTCATTTTGAATTGCGCTCCTACCAAAAATTTTATATTAAAAATGTAAATCTTCTATGAGGTTTTGAAATAATATCTCACCTTTCCCACAACCTTTGGATTAGCACGAATTCTTCAAGACTAAGACTGGCCAAAACCGTACAGTCTTTTTAGAGTTTTAGCATACCTAACATAATAATAATTAAGCAACAAGTTGTTATTTATTTAAATTATATAAATCTATTTGAATTGTTCATAAGCACATGTACATCTTTTTATATTAATAAAATATAACATAATATATATTCACAGATTCTTTATTAGAGGCATTTTCAACGAACTTATCTGGCAGCACACATACAAAATTGTAGGAATGATTTACTAAATTTTTTTAAATCCATACTTTTTGGTGAAATATAATATTCCTTGTGAATATCTAATATCACTACTGCTGACCAAGATTGGTATTTGTATTCGAACCTGAAACCAGTGATTAGTAATGCTCATTAATAATACTTAATACATAAAAATTAAAATAATAAAAAATTATCATTACATACTTCATTCATCAGGATGCTCTCGTTTATGAATCAGCATGTGTTTTTTCAGATGACTTGATTGTGTAAATTTCATATTGCATATATTGCATTCGTGGGAACGTACTCCTGTGTGTGTCAGCATGTGTTTTTTCAGATTACTAAATTGTGTAAATTTCTTATTGCATATGTTGCATTCATGAGGACGCTCCCCACTGTGAACAAGCATGTGACTTTTCAGATTACCAGATTCTGTAAATTTCTTATTGCATATATTGCATTCGTGGGGACGCTCCCCACTGTGAATGAGCATGTGACTTTTCAGAGTACTTGATGTTGTGAATGTCTTATTGCATATATTGCATTCGTGGGGACACTCCCCACTGTGTATCTGCATGTGACTTTTCAAATAACTTGATGTTGTGAATGCCTTATTGCATATATTGCATCGATGGAGTCGCTCACCATTGTGAATAAACATGTGACTTTTCAGATGACTTAATTGTGTAAATTTCTTATTGCATATACTGCATTCATGGGGACGTACTCCACTGTGAATAAGCATGTGACTTTTCAGAGTACTTAAATGTGTAAATTTCTTATTGCATATGTTGCATTCATGAGGACGCTCCCCACTGTGAATAAGCATGTGTCTTTTCAGATTACTTAAATGTGTAAATTTCTTATTGCATATGTTGCATTCATGAGGATGCTCACCACTGTGAACAAGCATGTGTTTTTTCAGATTACTAGATTCTGTAAATTTCTTATTGCATATATTGCATTCGTGGGGACGCTCCCCACTGTGAATGCGCATGTGACTTTTCAGAGTACTTAAATGTGTGAATTTCTTATTGCATATGTTGCATTCGTGGGGACGCTCCCCACTGTGAATGAGCATGTGACTTTTCAGATGACTTAATGTTGTGAATGCCTTATTGCATATATTGCATTCGTGGGGACGCTCCCCAATGTGAATAAGCATGTGACTTTTCAGATCACTAAATTTTGTGAATGCCTTATTGCATATATTGCATTCATAAGGACGCTCACCACTGTGAATAAGCATGTGACTTTTCAGATCACTTAATCGATCAAAAGTCTTGTAACAGATTTCGCATTTGAAAGATCTTTCTTTGCTATTATTAGGCATATGTTCGATCATATGCTTTTTTAAATGATCTGATTCTGCAAATGATTTATTGCAAATGTCACATTCATGAGTTGGTGTATCGACTAACTCCTGTTTGACTTCTTCTTCAATTTTCACCTCGGAATTCATGAATCTTTCTAAACATGTATCATCGTCTTCAGTAAACGATTCAGATTTAACAGTAACATCAGGATCATCGAATTCATCTTTCATTTCGAGTTTAATGTCTTCTGGTGGTTCAATTTTCACCTCGGAATTCATGAATCTTTCTAAACACGTATCATCGTCTTCGGTAAACGATTCAGATTTAACAGGAACATCAGGATCATCGAATTCATCCTTCATTTCGAGTTTAATGTCTTCTGGTGGTTCAATTTTCACCTCGGAATTCATGAATCTTTCTAAACACGTTTCATCATCTTCAGTAAACGATTCAGATTTAATAGTAACATCAGGATCATCGAATTCATCCTCCATTTCGAGTTTAATGTCTTCTGGTGAATATTCTGGTGGTTCAATTTTAATTGTCTGATCATTCATAGACATAATTGTTTCTTCCGACATTTTTAAAAATTTTCACAAAAAATTGACGATAATAGTTGTGCGCTAAATAATGGTTTAGACTTATTAATAATTTTTTTGAATGTTATAAATAATTTCAACTTTTACATTTATTATTTGACATTTGAAGCATAGAGTTTTCATTTACAGCAGTAGAGAGAGTAGAAACATATTCGCTATGTGTGAAGGCATGCAAGGGGAACTCAAATTGTCTGAAGCGCTCGTAGTGGTCGTTTTGAGCACTACGTAAGGCTATTATAACCAAAATAGGAAACAAATACGCGTGAAATATTATTTCATTTCAAATGTTAATAAATTAAATAACAAGTGGGGTGTATGGCATCGTTCGAGAAATACTGAATGTTCTGAAATAGATTATTATTAATATTGTAACATTGTCTAATATTGATAAGAATTATATAAACTGAATTACAAAGTTGAAATTATTTGTTAAAAGTATATCAGAACTTTAGTCAGAATTAAAAATAAAATCTGAATTATTTTCGCTATACAAAAAAAAATAATTGAACAAAAAACTGAACTAGCTGTAAGTGGAATTCTGTCTTGAGGCAATTATGGCATCGTGCCTTGAGGCAAATTGCTGGAACTTCCCGCACCGTAACGAAATGTTCGAGGAATATTGAATGTTTTCAAATAGATTATTATAAATATAGTAACATTGTCTAATATTTATAAGAATTATATAAACCGAATTGCAGAGTTGAAATTATTTCTAAAGTATATTAGAACTATAGTCAGAATTAAAAATAAAATCTGAAATATTTTCGATATACAAAATACTAAAAAAAAAAAAAAAAAAAAAAAAAAAAAAAAAAAAAATGGAACAAAATTTTTTTTTCCAAAATCAATTATTTTGTTAAGACAAGCAGAAAGTTCTTTGAATCTTTTAAATCGGACGCTTAGTTCTCTCAAAAACTGCCATTTTTTACATATTTAGCTCCGTATCTTCGAAATGGCTGGGCCTGCCTTTGCCAAAAACTAATAAACACTTCTCCCAATCATTACTAATTGAATGTTTTTTAGATCATTCAAATCGGATACTCCGTTCGCTCAAAAATTCGATTTCTATTTTCTGCACTCTTTGCTCCGTATCTCCGAAACGGCTGGACCTGCCTTTGTCAAAAACTAATCAGCTCTTTTCCCAATCAATAGGAATCGAATGTTTTTTGAACCATTCAAATCGGTTGATCCGTGCGCCCTAAAACGTGACTGGAAATTTGTATCCACACATACATACACACACACACACACACACACACACACACATCCATTTTTTCTGAGGTATGCCAAAACGTTCAGAAACCTTCAAAACGTCGAGAAATGTAAAAATTTTCAATTCCGATTTTCGGCCCATTACAATAACTTACCCTACGGGAAGTTAAAAAAAAAATTTTTTTTCAAAATCAATTATTTTGTTAAAACAAGCAGAAAGTTCTTTGAATCATTTAAATCGGACGCTTAGTTCTCTCAAAATTTGCAGTTTTTGCACATTTAGCTCCGTATCTTCGAAATGGCAGGGCCTGCCTTTGCCAAAAACTAATAAACACTTATTCCAATCATTACTAATTGAATGTTTTTAGATCATTCAAATCGGATACTCCATTCTCTCAAAAAGTCGATTTCTATTTTCTGCACTCTTTGCTCCGTATCCCCGAAACGGCTGGACCTGCCTTTGCCAAAAACTAATCAGCTCTTTTCCCTATCGATAGGAATCGAATGTTTATTGAACCATTCAAATCGGTTGATCCGTGCGCCCGAAAACGTGACTGGAAATTTGTATCCATACATACATACACACACACACATCCATTTTTTCTGAGGCATGACAAAATGTTCAGAAACCTTCAAAACGTCGAAAAAGGTAAAAATTTTCAATTCCTATTTTTGGTCCATTACAATAACTTATCCTACGGGAAATTAAAAACTGTAAAAATGCACTTGCACTTAAAAATATTTTTGCCCTGAAATATTTATTAATATTTATTAATAACTCACCTGATTTTTTTTTGAAAAATCCCCTTAATTCTGCAAAAAAATTAATCATATTATTATTAATTTTATGTTTAATATTTTATTGAATCCCATTTTTCCAAAAACAAACAGATGTTAATATAACATTTCGAGAAAGTTAGTATAAGCCACAGTATCACAGAAGATATTTTCGGCTGATTCGAAAAATTTAAATAATTTCTAAAATATTGAAATCAAAATTTTGAAAATAATTTTAAAAAAATCTTTAGGCTTTGATAAATAATTTGTGCAAAAAAATTATTGAAAAATACTTAAAGTCTTGCCGAAAAAAATTAATTATGAGGTTGCATATTAGACCAGGATAAAAATGATTATCTTTATAATGTAATAATATATATAAATAATTATTTTTTAATTTTAGGGTATACAAAATTGTTGTAGGGTTTTGTATTGTTAACAAAAGTTCTAGATAATTAATTTTTCTATAAATTTGCAAAAAATTTCATCACTTTTGGATAAACCCTTCAATAGTTATAAAAGATTTAACAAACCGATGTAGTCGCCGTATAATTTTGCGAATCAGCCTCAGAAACAGATGTAATACTAATACAAGTTCTAAAGTTAATATAATTATTTAGTAGATATTATTTTAATTAATTGGTAATAAGTTTTTAGTTAGTAATTAATAATACAGTCTGTAGGTTATTGTTCGCTTAATTCTAGAAGCAATATAGGAGTATTTTTATACATAAAATTAAATATATATATATATATATATATATATATATATATATATATTTAAAATTTTATGTATATATAAAAAATACCCCAACATCTAAATATATAAAATAAGTCAAAAACAAAGCGTTATAGTATATAGTACAACCACTGGTACGCATTTTTCTGTACACAAGTCCAGAGATTTTTTTGAGTTTTTGTTAAAAACTTTTTTTGGGACAAAATTATAAATATGTACTTTAGCTCGTTGTGAAGTCCATAAAATTACCTAAATTTTAGTATTTTTAAAAATTATCTAGTCCAAAAATTACTGTTGTTAGATAAAAAAAATTCCTAAATTATTATTTAGGGGTGAGGTGTAGAGGTGGGTCCCATCCCGTATGAGTAAAGGAGACAGACATATACACAACAGTAAAAAGCGACAGAGAAAGATATATGAATAAAATAAATCAATTATAAATACGTACCAGCAATTTTGTTTAAGTCTAAAATTTTAAATAATCCAACTATCCTAATTATTTATTTATTTAAATAATTAATATTGATTGTTTTAGAAGCTTGATTGTTCATTAAGGCAGATTAAAACTTATTCATCTAAAAACCACTTTTAATTTAATCAAAAACAGTTTCTGTTTTCTTTTTATAACTATAAACTATAAAATTGGTCAAAGTTATATATAATTATTTATAATAATGTGTATGGTATATATATTTACAATACTTATTTTTAATACTTATTGATTCTGTTTTTTTTTTGTGAAACCATTAAATGCGAGAAAAAAATTTACCATAGGGTAAAAAGTTATGTAAAACTTAAAAGGTTGATAATGGAACCGATTACGTAACTGCTTTTTATTCTTTGTAAAATTTTATATTTTTGTTTAATATGTTATTATGGTATTTGCAATTTCAAATTTAAAGAAGTTTTACTTCAAATAATAATGTTAAAAAAAATTACGTCTAATGCCTAAAAAAAAATAAGTTGTAAAATATATGAATGTTGAAATATTGAAAAGTTTAACGATCTTTGGAGGTTTTTGATAATGTTTGAGAATCGTGAATTGTTCTTCCAACAATTTTGTCAAAAAATTGAGGATAATTGCAAAATTTTTGAAGATCTAGGTTATGGAGATATTTTAAAATCTTTGATGATTTTTAAAAGTTCTTGAGATCTTTTTAAGATCTTTGAAGGTTTTTTTATATTGTTCAACAATTTTTAAAAAATCTCGTAAAGTATTTAAAGTTTTCTAAATATTTGTTATATGCTGTCTTTAAAAATCTTTAAAATGAGATCTCAAAAACTCTGAACTTAAAAATCTTTGTAGATCTTCAAAAATTTTGCTTAAATTCTCAAAGAATGTTAAAAAATTTCCAAAAATCTCCTAAAATATCTAAAGTTTTCTAGATATCTGTTAAATGCTGTCTTCAAAGATCTTTAAAATGAGATCTCAAGAACTTTTAACTTAAAAATCTTTGTAGATCTTCAAAAGTTATGCATTAATCCTCAAAATATTTATTAGAGTAGTTATTAAACATTCGTTAATGATTTTTCCAGAAATCTTTAGAAAAAATTGATTTCGAAAATTAAAAATTAGAATTCGAACCGATCAAGAACTAAAAACAAGTGACATCAAAAATCTTGTCTCCAAAACAATTATGTTCTCACAAATTTATAAACCAAGGCAAAAACCAGCATACTTAAACAAACCAGAACAAAAGTGGTGCACAATTTGATACAAGCTGATAAATTCGACTCTGTATTTTGTGTCCTCCTGATTGCTCGATCAAAAGAACCGCCATGTTTGGAAGCCAACCCTAAAAAAACAACAAAAACATCAAAATTAGGGTTTATACAAAAACCGACATTTCAGAAAACCGGTTTTCGAATTTTAATTTTACTAAAAAACCGGTTTTACTCGGTTTTCGAATTTTATATAGAAAACAATTTTTGCCCGAATATTCTGTAATTTATCCGCAAATTTAGTGTAATTTATAATAGAATTTGACTGAATTTATTTATTGTTCAATTTTATAGATAATAAACAAAATTATTTTAATTTTAATTAGTAGAACTAAAAAATAATAGTTTATCTTGATTAAATAACTTTGAAAATAATTATTCGTATTCATGCATCATTTTCACATATAAGAATGAAAATATTTTTATGATAGTGAAAGGAAAGTTTTCGAATAAATAAAAATAATACATTTTTAAATAAAAAGACATTCATTAAATTGAAAAAAAAATATTAGATACATTTTGATACATAATTGTTAATATCAATTTTAGTTTTAAAAACAATTAAGCTAAACTCGCGTATTGTCTGTTCCGAGCAATTTTAATTAAGGGGCACAACTAGTGTAACCGTCTAAAAAAGGTGATTTTTGGGAATTTATATTAAAAAAACTACTTTATCAATCATTTTAAAATTTCAGGAATATATTTATACATGTTTTAAGAATACATAGTAAAATTTTTGAAGAAAAAAATTAAATATTTTTAAAGTTATCGTCGATCTCCAACGGCGCGACAAAAAAAGCCCTTCACTGCTGCAGTGATTCCGGCCTTCTACGTGGATGAAATTTAAATAAAAAAAATCTTGTTAAACTAGATATTATTGTCTGTAAAATGAACTACGCTAAAGAAAAAAAAATCAAAAATTGACAAAATGACGGCGTTTTTTTAAAAAAAGTCGAATTTTATCCAAAATTTTGGTCGTTTTTGGACTGCCAAAATTCGATTTTTGATCCGATAAAAAATCGATAGTTCATTTTACGAAAAACTATATATAGAATATGTAAAAAAAAATTGATAGTGATCGGATCGTTTGTTTTTGAGTAATCGCTGCAGCAAATTCGGAAAATGCTGTTTCGAGAAAAACGCGTTTAATGATAAAATGATCGTTATACTATATACTATATATATACTCTTTAATAGCTGTGACTCAAAAACTATTTAAGATATCGATTTAAAATTTTGGTATGTTATTTTTAAAGATATCACCTATCGAAATATGGAAAAATTGAAAATTCGATTTTTTGAAAATGTCACACTAGTTGCGCCCCTTAATTAATTTTAAACATTCTAATTGTTTTTTTATTTAATAAAATATGTTTTCAAAAAACTGAGAACGTCTATCGAATTGCTACTTAGGCGTGTCCTTTATTGTTTACTCACAAAATTTTATGAAATAGAAAATACTCTCATACTTGCGACCAAATTATGCTTAATTATTTTTAAAGCCTGATATGATAATTCTAAGTTTTTTTGTACTTTTATTTGTGGCTTCTAGGGTTCAAAACTCTTTTTTTAACTTTGAGTAGATGAAGTTACTTCTTCAAAAAGAAGTCACACTGATTTAAATTAATATAAACACTGGTATAAAAATCTAAATTGATATATACACTTTCTGGAAACCATTGCAGACTGATAAGATACCAAATGCTATTGAACCGATATGATTTCAAAAATCAAAACACTTTCATCTATCCTTTATATTTGGCTATATTTTCCATTTCTACAGTGAAAACCGATTTTTTCACTAAAAACCGGTTTTCGAATTCCATAATTTTCGTCCAAAAAACCGGTTTTCGAAACCCTTATCAAAATCAGCTCCAAATATTATTATCATCATTTTACCTCTTGCTAAAGCTGGAAAAGCCAAACTCTGGGTAAAAGTCAACTTATGCAAACTGACATTTGTGAAACTTGTTCTCCTTGCAGGATCTTCTATAGATAAATCCAGGGCATCCAGTAAGGAGTACTGGGTACTTCCTGGACCTGCCTGGGTACCTGCACAATATTGGGTTCCGTACCTGTCTACAGAATTCACAGGAGAAGAGTAATACATGTAGTTGGTTGCTGATGAATCGTAGTAGTAATGGTACTTGTCAGGGTTTGTGTTGACGTATAAATCTGGAAGTAAATTTGGAGGTTAGTATCTGGAGGTTTTACTATGGTAAGGTGGTTTGTATTTCTACCTTCGTGGTATTGTGGCATTGGTAAGTTATTGTGACTTCTGGATATTTTGTGGAACCTCGAAGACATTGGTAAGCTATCTATATTCTTGATGGAGACTACTGATGATGTCGTGCTGGATGTCGGTGATGGTGGTGATTGTTTAGGGGAAGTTTTGCACCTGTTGATTATTCTAGTAATTTTAGGCGTGTAGACTCTGGTTTTACCTTCATTAGAATCCACGGAATCTATAGAACTCTACAAAAAAAATGTAAATATACAGTTGTTTGCAAATTTTTGTGTCAACCTCTAATAAAAAATAGTTCATTTTAGACATTATTAATCGAAATAGGGAATACTAGTACCCGTATAATTTAAAATTTTGTCAAAATTTTTACACTGAACACAATAGAAAGAAGAATTTGAGAGAAAATGTCATATGGAGTGCCAGCAAAATATATAACGAATTGCCAAACGATATTAAGATAAACCAATGATGACGATAAATTTAAAAGAAAAATAAAGAAATACTATAAGGAAAGTGAAGACAAAGAAGACTAAAAGTTATATATGAAGATATTTTAATTATAATAGATATAACATATGAAATCTGTTTTCATAATCTCTCATACCAGGCACCTCTTTCTGTCTGAGGTATAAAAATAATGTATATATATATATATATAAATAAATAAAAAAAAAATAAAAAAATAAGTTTGTAAAATTAAAACTGGATATTTGTAAATTTTAATACGAGACACATCAAAATTATTTTTACAGAAAATTAATAAAATTTAGATAGAGTTTACAAGGAACCTAATTGTAATCACCACCTTCAAGTGATTAAATCTTGCAATTAAGACGATATATTTATATTCTTTAATCCAGTTGAAGTAAAAAACTAGTGGTGTATGGCAACGTGCCTCAAGGCAAATTGCTGAAACTTCCCGTACCGTAATGAAAAATACGAAAAATTTTAAACGTTTACAAATAAATTATTACAAATACTGTAGCTTTCATTATTTTTTCATTATCTTGTTATATCTGAGCAAATCAAATGTAAATCATAAATAAATCAATTTATCTCTAGAACATATACAATCGTCATTTCATTTCGAATTCAATTAAAAAAAAAATAGTTACCTAATTTACACAAAATTGAAAAAGTGCTTCCGTATAGTCACAGGCTAAACGCATTTGCAAATAATTCTGTGCGACATTTTCACTTGTACTGTGCTTAGCTTGGCGGCATTTTCACATTTTTCAATAGTTTTCACAAAATTGGAAAAGCGCTCCAATGTACATAAACAGTCTAAACGCACTTGCGAAAACATTTGTACCAGAGTGGCGCTTAGACTGTGCTTAGCCTGGGTAATTTTTTGAATTTTTAATCCAAAATTACAAAAATATTTTATGGAAAATAAAAAGAGATGTAATAATTAAGTTAAGGTAGGTTATTGTAATCGTCCAAAAATCGAAATTGAATTTTTTTTACATTTCTTGACGTTTTGAAGGTTTCTAAACATTTTGGCATACGAGTATCTCAGAAAAAATGGATGTGTTTGTGTGTATGTATGTATGGATACAATTTTTCGGGCGCACGGTCGACCGATTTGAATGGTTCAAAAAACATTCGATTCTTATTGATAGGGAGATATGCTGATTAGTTTTTGGCAAAGGCAGGTCCAGCAGTTACGGAGATGAAGAGCAAAGAGTGCAGAAATTAGAAATCGAGTTTTTGAGAGAACGGAGCATTCGATTTGAATGATCTAAAAAACATTCAATCAGTAATGATTGTGGAGAAGTGATTATTAGTTATTGGCAAAGGCAGGCAAAGCCATTTCAAACATACGGAGCTAAATGTGCAAAAAATGGCAGTTATTGAGAGAACTAAGCGTCCGATTTAAATGATTCAAAGAACTTTCTGCTTGTTTTAACAAATTAATTTGTGAAATTTGTGAGTTATTTGACAAAAACCAAAAAAATGTCCCGAATATACTATTTTTCCAAAGAATAATGAATAATGAAAGAATTCAAAGGCGTTTTATTCCAAACTTTTATATCGGAGTGTATATAACTGTTGGCGTGGAATCGTAGTAAATTTTATCTAGTTTCTCCCTATGTAACCGAAAAGAGGTTTTTTAACACACACACACACATCTATTTTTTCTGAGGTATGCCAAAATGTTCAGAAACCTTCAAGCAAAAATTTTCATTTTCGATTTTCGGCCCATTACTATAACTACCCTACGTAAAGTTAATTATACACTCGTTTACAAATTTTTGTGCCAACTTCCCATTTACCTGTTCTGGTACAAATTTTGCCCTGTCAGGATGCAGCAATAGTTTTTGTTTATGATTGCTACTAGTAGTCTTCAAAACAGATTTTTTAGGTTCGTGAATTTCCGTTGCTGTTTCAAATTTTGCAGCAAAAACCACACTGTTTTCGGTCACCGGACAAGGTGAGACTTCGACAGATTCAATTCCTGAATCGTGGTTAAAAATCAAACCTTCATCGGGTGCAATATCTATCCTAATATCCTTTGGAAGGTCTCCAGCACTCGTAACCTTAGGTAAAGGTTTGATTGTGGCGGAAACTCTGGTGAGATGGACGTCACTGGAAACTTTGGGTAAAGTTGGGGGTTTAGACTCAATTTGGTCAATGATGGTTTCGTCGTCTTTGGTTTCAGTAACTGTTTGGGAGTCACTATCAGTGGCAATTGTGAAATTTGGAGGGTCGTCCTTAAGTGTTAAATCAGAGTCACTTAAATCTTGGTCAGTGGTGCCTGTGGTTATTTTCGGTGAGGTCGTACTGGGCGGAGAGTTTTCGCTGGAGGACGATGATGACGAGATTTGCTTCTTTGGTTCCTGAAACAAAAACAAGATAAGTTTATTAATTTTTATTTTTAGTACCATTTAGTTTATTATTAATTATAGGCACAGTAACTGAACTAATTATACTTGCTTACTTTTTTAATACTGGAGCAAGTCTCGACTTTTTGGGAAACCTCTGGAAATTCGAAGTTCTTTGGCGAGTTTTCTCCATCAGTCGGTGAATACACTGTTGGCGTTGATGGCACCACCTACAAACCAATAAATAAACTTGTTGGTAGTGGTATTTTGCCTTGAGGCAAGTTACATCAACTTCCCGATATGTGTAAATAATCGACATAATCTAAAATATAAATTAATTTATGAGTGATTGAAAGTATTCCCAGTGGATTTATTACATATAACTGAAAACGAATGAATGCGTTAACTCGGAGTATTTTCTAAAAGCAAATTTTCAAAACACAGTAATTTTTATAATTCAACCAATTTCCGTATGACTTTAATGGTTCATTAAAACCAAGTCTAAAAATTTGTAAAATAAAGAACTTATATTGTAAAAATACTTGATAATAATAATAAAAATGATAATGATAATATTAATAATAATAATATTAATAATAATAACAATAATATAAAACACTTAAATTTGTTAAAATATCATGAAATAACCTGAAATTTGTTAAATAAAATAATTATATTGTAAAAGTATTGTGAAGCTTATTGAAATAGTTATTAAAATACTTGCAACAACCAAACTAGTTATATTTAAAAATAATTAAAATTAACTAAATATAAATAAGTTTATAGTAAATAAATTATAAGTAATAAAATAGCTAATAATTAATTAAATATTATTAAACCTATAAAATATTAACTTAGGATTTATTATATTATTATACCGACTAGGAAATGCAATACCGGTATAACGGTATACCGAATTACCGGTAAACCGCCCGATTTTTTGGTGGTATTTTTACCGGTATTTACCCCAAAAATACCGGTATTTTCGGTATTTTTACATAAGCGTTGAATGATACATAATACACTAAAGTTAAATTTGATTAAACTGAATATTTATTGCTTTACTAAGAGCTTCATATCGTGTTACAATAAATAGAATTGGACTGATAGATAATAATGCTTGTTTCATCTTATGTAAAAATGTAACGATTTTTTAAGTGACATTTGCGCTAAAATATTTTATATCATACAGATTACCCCTGCGTAATCTTAATTTTTTTCTAACTTTATACATAATAATTATGATAATTACTAAATAATATTACTAAACGTTTCGAAGTTTGAAAATAATAGAACCATCAAATTGTTTTAAATAACAATACTCAACAATTATAGTAACTCATTATTTATCTCGACAAAGAATCCGATCTTAAATTAGTATAGAAAAATTATTTTTCTAAAATATTGGAGATTATGCTAATTTAACACATCAGATACAGACAATACAGTTTATTACAATAATGTAATATGATCTTTAATGAGTTTTTGGTCTTTCTTACTCATAAGTTTGTTTTTGGTGAATAGTACTCAATATACTTGATAGTGATAATGAATTAATTAAATTGGATATAATTTTGTTAAATTATTGTTTAAAAATAAACTTATTGTTTTATTTTATTGTTTTTATTATGTAGTTGAATATAGTTGTAGTGTATATACATTTTTTTTATATTTGTACTAGTAACTTTCAATTTTGTTTAGGTTTGTTTAAGATAATAAAAATACCGGTAATTTACCGGTATTCCGGTTTTAAAATAAAAAAATACCGAAATACCGGTATTGAAATTTTCCATCGGTAGTGAATTCCCTAACATATACTTTTAGTCCAAATTTCGTCTCCAAATGTCTTGAAACGTCCAGGAGAAAACATAAAATTAGCGAATCGGATTTTTTGATGAAAACATAAACTTGTCCTTCGGGAAGTTAATATAAACCATCAACATATCTCATTGACATCAATCTTTTATTCTTACCTGTAACAATGGTAAGGCATTTTGTGCAATCCTCCTAGGCTGTATCCTAGGCCTCCGTCTCCTCTCGCAATCCAGCAAAGCTCCACTAATAGAACTTTCGTGATCATCACTAAGTCCACAATCACAAAACCTCTGATCACAATCATTATAATTCGGTTCACAGACACATTCTGGTTGGCAAAAACCGTGACGATCACTCGTGCAAAATCTTGGGCTATCACTTAGACTTCTTCTTGGCAGACAAATTTCAGGAGAATCGGAAATTCGGGGATGGTCTGAGATACTGTACAAGTCGCTGGATTGGTCGGGGTAATCGGTAAATCTAAAAAGGTGGAATTTTGTGGTAAATTGGAATAAAATGTGTGAAAGAATTATTTTTACCTGTATTCATTTTCGTTGATTTCTGCGGAATGTCTATAAGTAACCCTTGGTGAGGGATCACTTTCGTCGCCGTCATCGGGATTTGAACCAGCGCACCATAGAGAACGAAGTCCTCTACGTTTCTAAAAAAAAAAAAAAATATTAAATTTTTTTTTGTATCGAGCATAGATCTTTGGTGTTCAATTCACATGACAGAGATCATCGGATCAAATCCTGTCAATGACTTAGAATTTATGAAAAAAAATATGTGTAAAAATCAAATAAAAATTGTACTTGTTGAATAGAATTTGAATAAAAATTAAGAAAATTAGGGTTAACAGAATTCGAATAGTTGAACTGAATTAGGAATAAGAAGAGAAATATTGGAACTAAAAAGAAGAATGAAGAAAAAAAAGTGGAATAAAGCTGAAAGTTAAATAGAATTAGGAATTTCAAAAAGAGCAAGAATTGAAGGAAATAAGAAAAAGAAAAATTAAGAAGAATATAGATAGATTAGAATGTAAATAAATAAAAATGTTGTAGGTGGCTTAATGCTCAGAGTAATCGAGGCCAAATAAAAACATTAAAAAAAATCTTTTATTTCATTTCTATTCTAATACTTTTTTTACTCTTATAATTACATTTAGCAGAGAATGCTGACAAGTTGTTTACAATTGATTGTTTACAAATTAGTAGATATGATTTTTAAAATTGATAAGTTTTTTAGGATTTTTTTTTAAATTAGTACATTGACAATATTGTAAAGTAAAACTTCTTAGACTAAATTCTTGTGAAATTTTAAAGACTATTTTGTTACACTAAAGAGGCAAAATATATGCAGTGGAAAAAGAGAGACCTACAAAATTCTATTTCTTGGTATTGTAATAATAGTGGTATACTAATAATAGTATCATAGACGTATACAAAATAGTATAGAGCAACAGAAAGATATATATGTAAGAACATCTGAGGTATTAGAAATGTTTTAGTTATGTTTATATGATTATTATGATATTTTTATAATTAATAATTATTGAAATTATAATGTACTAGATGTAAGTGGCATTTTGCCTTAAGGAAAGTTGTATAAATTTCTCAGTACGTGTAAATAATTGACTTAATCAATAATAATTGATACTTGACATTAGCGTTTTAAGCTCAATACAAAATAATGTTTCAAAGTAAAACTTCTTAGATGTAAATTTGACAATAGAAAAAATGTGATAAATAGCTAGTAAAATTTTAAAGACAATTCGATTTTGTTACAAAAAAAGACAAAATATATGCAGTGAAAAAAAAGAGAGACCTGCAGAATTTTATTTCATGGTTAGAGTAACAGAGATAGATGTATACAAAATATTGTAGAGCGACAGAGAAAGATATATGTATATTATTCATTTATTTATTAATTTTACAAGCCGTCGGTATAATAATATGATAATAAGGCTTAAGTCAATATTTTGCAGATTCAATATAATTTAATTAACTATTAGCTATTTTATTACTTATTTATTTATTATTTAATTTATTTACAATAAACTCATTTATATTTAGTTAAATTTAATTATTTTTAAATATAACTACTTTGTTTGTTGCAAGTATTTTCTAAAAATTTAATAACTATTTTAATAAGCTTTACAATACTTTTACAATATAATTATTTTATTTAACAAATTTTAGGTTATTTTATGATATTTAAACAAATTTAAATGTTTTATATTATTGTTATTATTATTATTATTATTATTAATATTATCATTATCATTTTTTATTATTATTGTTAAGTATTTTTACAATATAAGTTTTTTTCTTATAAGAACATCTGAGGTATGAGAAATATTTGAGTTGCGTTTATATGATTATTATTATAATTTTATAATTGTTAATTATTAAAATTATGGTGTACTAGGTATAAGTGGCATTTTGCCTTGAGGCAAGTTGCACAAACCTGCCTATATAAGAATTTAATTGACTTGATCATTAATAATTGATACTTGGCTATTTATATAAACTGTTTAAATCCAAAATAAACGTTTTGTTTCTATTAACAATTTATAAGAGTAATAATATATATATCTAACAAAAGTTGATTCAAAGTTCTGCAATAATTAGTTTAGAAGATATATAAATTCAAAACTTCAAACTCATTCTTAATGCATTATGGGCTTTGTATGAAATTCGTTAAAAGGACACTTGGTTGGTATATACATTTTTACAATTGCAAAATAAATACTAAATAGTTTACAATTAGTTTATTAGTATTAGTTTTTTTTACAATTTATAGTATTATCATAGGTATTAAACAAAATTTGTTTCGAAGTTCTAAAAGTATTAGTTTAGTAGATATACTCATTCAAACTTACAAATGCATTAGTTCGCGTATATGAAACACGTTACAGGGTCAATTTTTACTCTTTGAATTTTTACTTTGACAAAATAAATACTAAATAGTTTAAAATATTTTTACAATGATAACTTATAAATATTTTTATAATGATAACTTAGCTCAACAACAAAATTTGTTTCATAGTTCTGCAATATATAGTTTCAAAGAAATGGTAATTCAAACTTTGTAAAGCAATCAATGAATTTATAGTTTGCATAATACCATCAAACTCATACAACATTATATATATATATATATATATATATATATATATTATATATATATATATATATATGTATTTATGCATACATCAATAATGCACCCTCTATGTCTAAACACCGAACTAAATTCTACACGTGCGCCATCCTTTGACGTCATCTCTAATACAAATTTAATAAGTTCACTGACACCTCTATATAAACACGTTGTCCTATATGCAAATAATCCTTGCAGGCTTATAAAATAAATATAGTGGACATATAATTTATTTTTGTAAATTGTAAAAATATTTGGAACGTTTAGGAACTTTTTATTTAATTGTTAAAAATCAAATACTGAAAAATGTCCCTACAATGGGGATAAAGATTAAGTTGGGTGTGTATCTTCTAAATTAATTTTGGCAGAACTATGAAATAAATTTTATCGGATAGCTACATCATTATCATAAATCATCAAATTAATTGTAATTACTTAATATTAATGGTAACATTGGTAAAAATTAAATACTATATATTTAGGAAAATTATTAATTAATTGTGTATCTCCTAAACTAATTATTACACAGCTATAAAACAAATTTTGTTAGACAGTTAAATTATCATTATAAATTGTAAAAATAATTAGAACTTGTCAACGTTTAATGTACAATTGCTAAAAATTAAATTCTAACAAAAGTCTCTTATACAGAGCGAGTCTCATACATGATAGTTTAAGATAAAGTTTAAAGATTTGGATAAGTCTGTTTTCTAAACTAGTTTCGGTAGAACTATAAAACAATTTTTATTGAATAGATAAATCATTATTATCAATTGAAAAAATATTTTTAACATCCAAGAAATTATTGTCTAGATGTAAAATTTTGCGAACTAAAAAAACAATTCCTTGACGAGTCTCATGCAGAGATAATAATGCATTATAAATAAGTAAGAATGTTTGGATGTGTATATCTACTAAACTAATTATTGCAATACTGTAAAACAATTTTTTTGATAGCTAAATCACTATTATAAATTGCAAAAATAATTGCAACAACCTAGCATTTATTATATAATTGTAAAAATCCAAAAACTAAAAAAAAATCTTATAAATATCAAAAAATCTCTAAATTTCTCTAAATTCGCAAGTTGCAAAAGCTATCTGAATTATGAGTTTGATTTTTTCTAAAGTATTCTAAGTTGCTGTGATTTCAAAGTCGATTTTACTAAATTATCTTAAAAGGAAATCGTAATGAAATGTTTGTGGAATATTTTGTATTTGTATGTAAGTTATTTATCAAGATTTATGTTAATAACTCTTCAGTAAATCCTTATCAATGTCACATAAATCACTTGAAGGTCTAGGAATTATTAAATATTTATGAGGATTTCTAAATCACCCTTATAGACATATATATATTGAAAATATATATATATATATATATATATATATATATATATATATGTATATATATATATATATATATATATAAGCAAAATATCAGATAAAAATTAAATCATTAAATCAGATAAAAATTTAATAATTGTGCAATTATTTATTTTATTTGGATTTGTCTTGTAAAAATGTATTGATTATTTATTATTTAATTTATGGTTGTTTCTATAAACAATTTTTAAATTTAATTTATACTATAAAAAATAAGTTTTCTTCTTATTATGGTAATAAATCTTTGACGTTGCAAACAAAGTTTAAGGGTTGTAAACATGTTTACATTGGTTCGTGAAAAAATAATCTATTTTTGGTAACAGATGTCTGAAAATAGACAATAGAGGTGTCTATATGAAACTTTCCTATAATTTAAATATATATAGATATATAAAAATGAATTATTTTTAGGTATTTATAGTCATTATTGACAAAAGGTATTTTTTGGTATTTAAATTTTATATTCAGACTATAAACAATAGAGTGTTGCTATTATTTTTGCAATTTATAATAATAATTTAGATATCCAGCAAAATTTGTTTTATAAATCTGCAGTAATTAGTTGAGAAAATATTTGCAATTAAACCAGTTTTAATATCTGAACGATTTTAATTTGGTACGATTTTTGGTCCATGAATTTTTACGTTATTATAACAATATATAGAACGCTAAATATTTTTTCAATATTTATAATAATGTAGGTATCTATAAAAATTTGCTTAATAATTCTGCAGTAATTAGTTTAAAAGATATACACTATTGAAATTCATACATGATTTACGTTTGATTGAGTTTAAATATGCATACAAGACATTTTTTGAGTAGTTTTTGAATTTTTACATTAATAGAGTAAAAGACAAAATGTTGCAATTATTTTTGGAATTTATAATAATAGTTAAGCAATGTAACAAAATTTGTATAATAAAAATGGCATCATTATTTTCGAAGTTATAGTCAATCTAAATTATATGATTATAATTTAATTATAACTAGTGTAAAAAACATTTTCTTAAAAATTTAATTTTTTTATTTAGACATTGAAATTTGCAATGTAGTAATTAATTTTATATTTATAATATTGTTTGTATATTCAACAAAATTTACTTTACAGTTTTG